AAGGGCCGGGGTGGTTCAGCATTTTGGAGGAAAATATTTTTTTTTTAATAGGCTAGTTTCTCCACAATGAATGTACCTACATGCCATTAGATGGATCTTGACCCCCATATCCCTTTGAAAGGGGCGTAGGGGCAAATATTGTGATAATTTGAATGAACACCAATTTCAGGCCGAAATGGTAAGGGCCGGGGTGGTTCAGGATTTTGGAGGAAAATATACATTTTTTTTTAATAGGTTAGTTTCCCCACAATGAATGTCCATACATGCCATTAGATGGATCCTGACCCCCATATCCCTTTGAAAGGGGCGTAGTGGCAAATTTTGTAAAAATTTTAATGATCACAACTTTCGGGCCGAAATTGTAAGGGCCGGGGTCGTTCAGCATTTTGGAGGAAAATATATATTTTTTTTAATAGGCTAGTTTCCCCACAATGAATGTACATACATGCCATTACATGGATCCTGACCCCCGTATCCCTTTGAAAGGGGCGTAGGGGCAAATATTGTAAAAATTTTAATTATCACAACTTTCGGGCCGAAATTAGAAGGTCCGGGATGGTTCAGCATTTTGGAGGAAAATATATATTTGTTTTAATAGGTTAGTTTCCCCACAATGAATGTGCATACATGCCATTAGATGGATCCTGACCCCCATATCCCTTTGGAAGGGGCGTAGGGGCAAATATTGTAAAAATTTGAATTATCACAACTTTCGTGCCGAAATTAGAAGGGCCGGGGTGGTTCAGGATTTTGGAGGAAAATATACATTTTTTTTTAATAGGTTAGTTTCCCCACAATGAATGTCCATACATGCCATTAGATGGATCCTGACCCCCATATCCCTTTGAAAGGGGCGTAGTGGCAAATTTTGTAAAAATTTTAATGATCACAACTTTCGGGCCGAAATTGTAAGGGCCGGGGTCGTTCAGCATTTTGGAGGAAAATATATATTTTTTTTAATAGGCTAGTTTTCCCACAATGAATGTACATACATGCCATTACATGGATCCTGACCCCCGTATCCCTTTGAAAGGGGCGTAGGGGCAAGTATTGTAAAAATTTTAATTATCACAACTTTCGGGCCGAAATTAGAAGGTCCGGGGTGGTTCAGCATTTTGGAGGAAAATATATATTTGTTTTAATAGGTTAGTTTCCCCACAATGAATGTCCATACATGCCATTAGATGGATCCTGACCCCCATATCCCTTTGAAAGGGGCGTAGGGGCAAATATTGTAAAAATTTGAATTATCACAACTTTCGTGCCGAAATTGTAAGGGCCGGGGTGGTTCAGCATTTTGGAGGAAAATATATATTTTTTTTAATAGGTTAGTTTCCCCACAATGAATGTCCATACATGCCATTAGATGGATCTTGACCCCCATATCCCTTTGAAACGGGCGTAGGGGCAAATATTGTGATAATTTGAATAAACACCAATTCAGGCCGAAATTGTAAGGGCCGGGGTCGTTCAGCATTTTGGAGGAAAATATATATTTTTTTTAATAGGCTAGTTTTCCCACAATGAATGTACATACATGCCATTACATGGATCCTGACCCCCGTATCCCTTTGAAAGGGGCGTAGGGGCAAATATTGTAAAAATTTTAATTATCACAACTTTCGGGCCGAAATTAGAAGGTCCGGGGTGGTTCAGCATTTTGGAGGAAAATATATATTTGTTTTAATAGGTTAGTTTCCCCACAATGAATGTCCATACATGCCATTAGATGGATCCTGACCCCCATATCCCTTTGAAAGGGGCGTAGGGGCAAATATTGTAAAAATTTGAATTATCACAACTTTAGGGCCGAAATTGTAAGGGCCGGGGTGGTTCAGCATTTTGGAGGAAAATATATATTTTTTTTAATAGGCTAGTTTCCCTACAATGAATGTACATACATGCCATTACATGGATCCTGACCCCCGTATCCCTTTGAAAGGGGCGTAGGGGCAAATATTGTAAAAATTTTAATTATCACAACTTGAGGGCCGAAATTGTAAGGGCCGGGGTGGTTCAGCATTTTGGAGGAAAATATATATTTTTTTTAATAGGCTTCTTTCCCTACAATGAATGTACATACATGCCATTAGATGGATCCTGACCCCCATATCCCTTTGGAAGGGGCGTAGGGGCAAATATTGTAAAAATTTGAATCATCACAACTTTCGTGCCGAAATTAGAAGGGCCGGGGTGGTTCAGCATTTTGGAGGAAAATATATATTTTTTTTAATAGGTTAGTTTCCCCACAATGAATGTCCATACATGCCATTAGATGGATCTTGACCCCCATATCCCTTTGAAACGGGCGTAGGGGCAAATATTGTGATAATTTGAATAAACACCCAATTCAGGCCGAAATGGTAAGGGCCGGGGTGGTTCAGCATTTTGGAGGAAAATATTATTTTTTTTAATAGGCTAGTTTCTCCACAATGAATGTACCTACATGCCATTAGATGGATCTTGACCCCCATATCCCTTTGAAAGGGGCATAGGGGCAAATATTGTGATAATTTGAATAAACACCAATTTCAGGCCAAAATGGTAAGGGCCGGGGTGGTTCAGCATTTTCGAGGAAAATATTATTTTTTTTTAATAGGTTAGTTTCCCCACAATGAATGTCCATACATGCCATTAGATGGATCCTGACCCCCATATCCCTTTGAAAGGGGCGTAGTGGCAAATTTTGTAAAAATTTTAATGATCACAACTTTCGGGCCGAAATTGTAAGGGCCGGGGTCGTTCAGCATTTTGGAGGAAAATATATATTTTTTTTAATAGGCTAGTTTCCCCACAATGAATGTACATACATGCCATTACATGGATCCTGACCCCCGTATCCCTTTGAAAGGGGCGTAGGGGCAAATATTGTAAAAATTTTAATTATCACAACTTTCGGGCCGAAATTAGAAGGTCCGGGATGGTTCAGCATTTTGGAGGAAAATATATATTTGTTTTAATAGGTTAGTTTCCCCACAATGAATGTGCATACATGCCATTAGATGGATCCTGACCCCCATATCCCTTTGGAAGGGGCGTAGGGGCAAATATTGTAAAAATTTGAATTATCACAACTTTCGTGCCGAAATTAGAAGGGCCGGGGTGGTTCAGGATTTTGGAGGAAAATATACATTTTTTTTTAATAGGTTAGTTTCCCCACAATGAATGTCCATACATGCCATTAGATGGATCCTGACCCCCATATCCCTTTGAAAGGGGCGTAGTGGCAAATTTTGTAAAAATTTTAATGATCACAACTTTCGGGCCGAAATTGTAAGGGCCGGGGTCGTTCAGCATTTTGGAGGAAAATATATATTTTTTTTAATAGGCTAGTTTTCCCACAATGAATGTACATACATGCCATTACATGGATCCTGACCCCCGTATCCCTTTGAAAGGGGCGTAGGGGCAAGTATTGTAAAAATTTTAATTATCACAACTTTCGGGCCGAAATTAGAAGGTCCGGGGTGGTTCAGCATTTTGGAGGAAAATATATATTGTTTTAATAGGTTAGTTTCCCCACAATGAATGTCCATACATGCCATTAGATGGATCCTGACCCCCATATCCCTTTGAAAGGGGCGTAGGGGCAAATATTGTAAAAATTTGAATTATCACAACTTTCGTGCCGAAATTGTAAGGGCCGGGGTGGTTCAGCATTTTGGAGGAAAATATATATTTTTTTTAATAGGTTAGTTTCCCCACAATGAATGTCCATACATGCCATTAGATGGATCTTGACCCCCATATCCCTTTGAAACGGGCGTAGGGGCAAATATTGTGATAATTTGAATAAACACCCAATTCAGGCCGAAATTGTAAGGGCCGGGGTCGTTCAGCATTTTGGAGGAAAATATATATTTTTTTAATAGGCTAGTTTTCCCACAATGAATGTACATACATGCCATTACATGGATCCTGACCCCCGTATCCCTTTGAAAGGGGCGTAGGGGCAAATATTGTAAAAATTTTAATTATCACAACTTTCGGGCCGAAATTAGAAGGTCCGGGGTGGTTCAGCATTTTGGAGGAAAATATATATTTGTTTTAATAGGTTAGTTTCCCCACAATGAATGTCCATACATGCCATTAGATGGATCCTGACCCCCATATCCCTTTGAAAGGGGCGTAGGGGCAAATATTGTAAAAATTTGAATTATCACAACTTTAGGGCCGAAATTGTAAGGGCCGGGGTGGTTCAGCATTTTGGAGGAAAATATATATTTTTTTTAATAGGCTAGTTTCCCTACAATGAATGTACATACATGCCATTACATGGATCCTGACCCCCGTATCCCTTTGAAAGGGGCGTAGGGGCAAATATTGTAAAAATTTTAATTATCACAACTTGAGGCCGAAATTGTAAGGGCCGGGGTGGTTCAGCATTTTGGAGGAAAATATATTTTTTTTTTAATAGGCTTCTTTCCCTACAATGAATGTACATACATGCCATTAGATGGATCCTGACCCCCATATCCCTTTGGAAGGGGCGTAGGGGCAAATATTGTAAAAATTTGAATCATCACAACTTTCGTGCCGAAATTAGAAGGGCCGGGGTGGTTCAGCATTTTGGAGGAAAATATATATTTTTTTAATAGGTTAGTTTCCCCACAATGAATGTCCATACATGCCATTAGATGGATCTTGACCCCCATATCCCTTTGAAACGGGCGTAGGGGCAAATATTGTGATAATTTGAATAAACACCCAATTCAGGCCGAAATGGTAAGGGCCGGGGTGGTTCAGCATTTTGGAGGAAAATATTATTTTTTTGAATAGGCTAGTTTCTCCACAATGAATGTACCTACATGCCATTAGATGGATCTTGACCCCCATATCCCTTTGAAAGGGGCATAGGGGCAAATATTGTGATAATTTGAATAAACACCAATTTCAGGCCAAAATGGTAAGGGCCGGGGTGGTTCAGCATTTTCGAGGAAAATATTATATTTTTTGAATAGGCTAGTTTCCCCACAATGAATGTACATACATGCCATTACATGGATCCTGACCCCCGTATCCCTTTGAAACGGGCGTAGGGGCAAATATTGTCAAAATTTTAATTATCACAACTTTCGGGCCGAAATTAGAAGGTCCGGGGTGGTTCAGCATTTTGGAGGAAAAATATATTTGTTTTAATAGGTTAGTTTCCCCACAATGAATGTCCATACATGCCATTAGATGGATCCTGACCCCCATATCCCTTTGAAAGGGGCGTAGGGGCAAATATTGTAAAAATTTGAATTATCACAACTTTCGTGCCGAAATTGTAAGGGCCGGGGTGGTTCAGCATTTTGGAGGAAAATATATATTTTTTTTAATAGGTTAGTTTCCCCACAATGAATGTCCATACATGCCATTAGATGGATCTTGACCCCCATATCCCTTTGAAACGGGCGTAGGGGCAAATATTGTGATAATTTGAATAAACACCCAATTCAGGCCGAAATGGTAAGGGCCGGGGTGGTTCAGCATTTTGGAGGAAAATATTTTTTTTTTTAATAGGCTAGTTTCTCCACAATGAATGTACCTACATGCCATTAGATGGATCTTGACCCCCATATCCCTTTGAAAGGGGCGTAGGGGCAAATATTGTGATAATTTGAATGAACACCAATTTCAGGCCGAAATGGTAAGGGCCGGGGTGGTTCAGGATTTTGGAGGAAAATATACATTTTTTTTTAATAGGTTAGTTTCCCCACAATGAATGTCCATACATGCCATTAGATGGATCCTGACCCCCATATCCCTTTGAAAGGGGCGTAGTGGCAAATTTTGTAAAAATTTTAATGATCACAACTTTCGGGCCGAAATTGTAAGGGCCGGGGTCGTTCAGCATTTTGGAGGAAAATATATTTTTTTTTTAATAGGCTAGTTTCCCCACAATGAATGTACATACATGCCATTACATGGATCCTGACCCCCGTATCCCTTTGAAAGGGGCGTAGGGGCAAATATTGTAAAAATTTTAATTATCACAACTTTCGGGCCGAAATTAGAAGGTCCGGGATGGTTCAGCATTTTGGAGGAAAATATATATTTGTTTTAATAGGTTAGTTTCCCCACAATGAATGTGCATACATGCCATTAGATGGATCCTGACCCCCATATCCCTTTGGAAGGGGCGTAGGGGCAAATATTGTAAAAATTTGAATTATCACAACTTTCGTGCCGAAATTAGAAGGGCCGGGGTGGTTCAGGATTTTGGAGGAAAATATACATTTTTTTTTAATAGGTTAGTTTCCCCACAATGAATGTCCATACATGCCATTAGATGGATCCTGACCCCCATATCCCTTTGAAAGGGGCGTAGTGGCAAATTTTGTAAAAATTTTAATGATCACAACTTTCGGGCCGAAATTGTAAGGGCCGGGGTCGTTCAGCATTTTGGAGGAAAATATATATTTTTTTTAATAGGCTAGTTTTCCCACAATGAATGTACATACATGCCATTACATGGATCCTGACCCCCGTATCCCTTTGAAAGGGGCGTAGGGGCAAGTATTGTAAAAATTTTAATTATCACAACTTTCGGGCCGAAATTAGAAGGTCCGGGGTGGTTCAGCATTTTGGAGGAAAATATATATTTGTTTTAATAGGTTAGTTTCCCCACAATGAATGTCCATACATGCCATTAGATGGATCCTGACCCCCATATCCCTTTGAAAGGGGCGTAGGGGCAAATATTGTAAAAATTTGAATTATCACAACTTTCGTGCCGAAATTGTAAGGGCCGGGGTGGTTCAGCATTTTGGAGGAAAATATATATTTTTTTTAATAGGTTAGTTTCCCCACAATGAATGTCCATACATGCCATTAGATGGATCTTGACCCCCATATCCCTTTGAAACGGGCGTAGGGGCAAATATTGTGATAATTTGAATAAACACCCAATTCAGGCCGAAATTGTAAGGGCCGGGGTCGTTCAGCATTTTGGAGGAAAATATATATTTTTTTTAATAGGCTAGTTTTCCCACAATGAATGTACATACATGCCATTACATGGATCCTGACCCCCGTATCCCTTTGAAAGGGGCGTAGGGGCAAATATTGTAAAAATTTTAATTATCACAACTTTCGGGCCGAAATTAGAAGGTCCGGGGTGGTTCAGCATTTTGGAGGAAAATATATATTTGTTTTAATAGGTTAGTTTCCCCACAATGAATGTCCATACATGCCATTAGATGGATCCTGACCCCCATATCCCTTTGAAAGGGGCGTAGGGGCAAATATTGTAAAAATTTGAATTATCACAACTTTAGGGCCGAAATTGTAAGGGCCGGGGTGGTTCAGCATTTTGGAGGAAAATATATATTTTTTTTAATAGGCTAGTTTCCCTACAATGAATGTACATACATGCCATTACATGGATCCTGACCCCCGTATCCCTTTGAAAGGGGCGTAGGGGCAAATATTGTAAAAATTTTAATTATCACAACTTGAGGGCCGAAATTGTAAGGGCCGGGGTGGTTCAGCATTTTGGAGGAAAATATATATTTTTTTTAATAGGCTTCTTTCCCTACAATGAATGTACATACATGCCATTAGATGGATCCTGACCCCCATATCCCTTTGGAAGGGGCGTAGGGGCAAATATTGTAAAAATTTGAATCATCACAACTTTCGTGCCGAAATTAGAAGGGCCGGGGTGGTTCAGCATTTTGGAGGAAAATATATATTTTTTTAATAGGTTAGTTTCCCCACAATGAATGTCCATACATGCCATTAGATGGATCTTGACCCCCATATCCCTTTGAAACGGGCGTAGGGGCAAATATTGTGATAATTTGAATAAACACCCAATTCAGGCCGAAATGGTAAGGGCCGGGGTGGTTCAGCATTTTGGAGGAAAATATTATTTTTTTTAATAGGCTAGTTTCTCCACAATGAATGTACCTACATGCCATTAGATGGATCTTGACCCCCATATCCCTTTGAAAGGGGCATAGGGGCAAATATTGTGATAATTTGAATAAACACCAATTTCAGGCCAAAATGGTAAGGGCCGGGGTGGTTCAGCATTTTCGAGGAAAATATTATATTTTTTGAATAGGCTAGTTTCCCCACAATGAATGTACATACATGCCATTACATGGATCCTGACCCCCGTATCCCTTTGAAAGGGGCGTAGGGGCAAATATTGTAAAAATTTTAATTATCACAACTTTCGGGCCGAAATTAGAAAGTCCGGGGTGGTTCAGCATTTTGGAGGAAAATATATATTTGTTTTAATAGGTTAGTTTCCCCACAATGAATGTCCATACATGCCATTAGATGGATCCTGACCCCCATATCCCTTTGAAAGGGGCGTAGGGGCAAATATTGTAAAAATTTGAATTATCACAACTTTCGTGCCGAAATTGTAAGGGCCGGGGTGGTTCAGCATTTTGGAGGAAAATATATATTTTTTTAATAGGTTAGTTTCCCCACAATGAATGTCCATACATGCCATTAGATGGATCTTGACCCCCATATCCCTTTGAAACGGGCGTAGGGGCAAATATTGTGATAATTTGAATAAACACCCAATTCAGGCCGAAATGGTAAGGGCCGGGGTGGTTCAGCATTTTGGAGGAAAATATTTTTTTTTTAATAGGCTAGTTTCTCCACAATGAATGTACCTACATGCCATTAGATGGATCTTGACCCCCATATCCCTTTGAAAGGGGCGTAGGGGCAAATATTGTGATAATTTGAATGAACACCAATTTCAGGCCGAAATGGTAAGGGCCGGGGTGGTTCAGGATTTTGGAGGAAAATATACATTTTTTTTTAATAGGTTAGTTTCCCCACAATGAATGTCCATACATGCCATTAGATGGATCCTGACCCCCATATCCCTTTGAAAGGGGCGTAGTGGCAAATTTTGTAAAAATTTTAATGATCACAACTTTCGGGCCGAAATTGTAAGGGCCGGGGTCGTTCAGCATTTTGGAGGAAAATATATATTTTTTTTAATAGGCTAGTTTCCCCACAATGAATGTACATACATGCCATTACATGGATCCTGACCCCCGTATCCCTTTGAAAGGGGCGTAGGGGCAAATATTGTAAAAATTTTAATTATCACAACTTTCGGGCCGAAATTAGAAGGTTCGGGATGGTTCAGCATTTTGGAGGAAAATATATATTTGTTTTAATAGGTTAGTTTCCCCACAATGAATGTCCATACATGCCATTAGATGGATCCTGACCCCCATATCCCTTTGAAAGGGGCGTAGGGGCAAATATTGTAAAAATTTTAATTATCACAACTTTAGGGCCGAAATTGTAAGGGCCGGGGTGGTTCAGCATTTTGGAGGAAAATATATATTTTTTTAATAGGCTTGTTTCCCTACAATGAATGTACATACATGCCATTAGATGGATCCTGACCCCCATATCCCTTTGGAAGGGGCGTAGGGGCAAATATTGTAAAAATTTGAATTATCACAACTTTCGTGCCGAAATTAGAAGGGCCGGGGTGGTTCAGCATTTTCGAGGAAAATATTTTTTTTTTTTAATAGGCTAGTTTCCCCACAATGAATCTACATACATGCCATTACATGGATCCTGACCCCCGTATCCCTTTGAAAGGGGCGTAGGGGCAAATATTGTAAAAATTTGAATTATCACAACTTTCGGGCCGAAATTAGAAGGTCCGGGGTGGCTCAGCATTTTGGAGGAAAATATATATTTTTTTTAATAGGTTAGTTTTCCCACAATGAATGTCCATACATGCCATTAGATGGATCTTGAGCCCCATATCCCTTTGAAAGGGGCGTAGGGGCAAATATTGTGATAATTTGAATAAACACCAATTTCAGGCCGAAATGGTAAGGGCCGGGGTGGTTCAGGATTTTGGAGGAAAATATACATTTTTTTTTAATAGGTTAGTTTCCCCACAATGAATGTCAATACATGCCATTAGATGGATCCTGACCCCCATATCCCTTTGAAAGGGGCGTAGTGGCAAATTTTGTAAAAATTTTAATGATCACAACTTTCGGGCCGAAATTGTAAGGGCCGGGGTCGTTCAGCATTTTGGAGGAAAATATATATTTTTTTTAATAGGCTAGTTTCCCCACAATGAATGTACATACATGCCATTACATGGATCCTGACCCCCGTATCCCTTTGAAAGGGGCGTAGGGGCAAATATTGTAAAAATTTGAATTATCACAACTTTCGTGCCGAAATTAGAAGGGCCGGGGTGGTTCAGCATTTTCGAGGAAAATATTATTATTTTTTAATAGGCTAGTTTCCCCACAATGAATCTACATACATGCCATTACATGGATCCTGACCCCCGTATCCCTTTGAAAGGGGCGTAGGGGCAAATATTGTAAAAATTTTAATTATCACAACTTTCGGGCCGAAATTAGAAGGTCCGGGGTGGTTCAGCATTTTGGAGGAAAATATATATTTGTTTTAATAGGTTAGTTTCCCCACAATGAATGTCCATACATGCCATTAGATGGATCCTGACCCCCATATCCCTTTGAAAGGGGCGTAGGGGCAAATATTGTAAAAATTTTAATTATCACAACTTTAGGGCCGAAATTGTAAGGGCCGGGGTGGTTCAGCATTTTGGAGGAAAATATATATTTTTTTTAATAGGCTAGTTTCCCTACAATGAATGTACATACATGCCATTAGATGGATCCTGACCCCCATATCCCTTTGGAAGGGGCGTAGGGGCAAATATTGTAAAAATTTGAATTATCACAACTTTCAGGCCGAAATTAGAAGGTCCGGGGTGGCTCAGCATTTTGGAGGAAAATATATATTTTTTTTAATAGGTTAGTTTCCCCACAATGAATGTCCATACATGCCATTAGATGGATCTTGACCCCCATATCCCTTTGAAAGGGGCGTAGGGGCAAATATTGTGATAATTTGAATAAACACCAATTTCAGGCCGAAATGGTAAGGGCCGGGGTGGTTCAGGATTTTGGAGGAAAATATATATTTTTTTTAATAGGCTAGTTTCCCCACAATGAATGTACCTACATGCCATTAGATGGATCTTGACCCCCATATCCCTTTGAAAAGGGCATAGGGGCAAATATTGTGATAATTTGAATAAACACCAATTTCAGGCCAAAATGGTAAGGGCCGGGGTGGTTCAGCATTTTCGAGGAAAATATTATATTTTGTGAATAGGCTAGTTTCCCCACAATCAATGTACATACATGCCATTAGATGGATCCTGACCCCCATATCCCTTTGGAAGGGGCGTAGGGGCAAATATTGTAAAAATTTGAATTATCACAACTTTCGGGCCAAAATTAGAAGGTCCGGGGTGGTTCAGCATTTTGGAGGAAAATATTTTTATGCCTCCGCCACCGAAGGTGATGCCGGAGGCATCATGTTTTCGGGTTGTCCGTCCGTACGTCCGTCCCGTTTGACCGTTATCACAATATCTCAAGAACCATTTAAGATTTAAACTTAAGACTCGGGAATAGTATTCATCACCATAGGAAGACGATTTGATTAGATTTTGGAGTACGTAGGTCAAAGGTCACAGGGGTCAACTTATGAAATTCCTTGTATTGACTTTGTTAGCGCGATATCTCAACAACCATTTGAGATTTAAACTTCAAACTTAAGGATAGTATGTATCACCATAGGAAGACGATCTGATTAGATTTTGGAGCACGTTTGTCAAAGGTCAAGGGTCACAGAGGTCAACTTATGAAATTCCATATATTGAGATTGTTATCATGATATCTCAAGAACCACTGGAGATGTAAAAACTTCAAACTTAAGGATAGTATGTATCACCATAGGAAGACGATCTGATTAGATTTTGGAGCACGTAGGTCAAAGGTCAAGGGTCACAGAGGTCAACTTATGAAATTCAATACATTGAGATCGTTATCGCGATATCTCAAGAACCACTGGATAATTTTCACTTCAAACTTAATGATAGTATGTATCATCACCATATCATAATATCTCAAGAACCACTGGAGATTTAAACTTCAAACTTAATGATAGTGTGTATCACCATACCATTTTTTTTTTTTTTTTTTTTTTTTTGTTGTTGTTGATAGAGAGCTGTACCGCCGTGAATGCGAGTCATATTATGAGTGCATCTTCAATGCGAAGTCAGCGTATCTCAAAGATCTCATCAAGAATGCTGACACTAAAGAACTGTTTCGTCTTGTGAAGACACTCTCAACGCCCACTCAATCTTCACCTCTTCCAGATCATTCTTCTGATAGTGAACTCGCCAACAGATTTGCTACATTCTTCAGGGAAAAAGTCGCCAAAGTTGTATCCTCTTTCCCTAATGTAGTACCAGCACCAGCTTCAAGATCTTTTGCTCCAGGCCCTCATCATGAACTCTCTGATTTCTGCCTTGTATCCCTCTCACAAGTCAGGAAGCTCATCACTTCACTTCCTTCTAAACACTGTAAGCTAGATCCGATTCCTACCTGGCTTCTAAAGGAAGTCCTTGATGAACTCCTTCCTCACATAACCAAACTGTTCAATCTCTCGTTATCATCCGGAATAGTTCCAGAGTCTTTTAAGACTTCTCTGCTTCTTCCCCTCCTAAAGAAGCCGAGTCTCGACACGAATGGACTTAAGAACTACAGGCCCATCGCAAACCTGCCATTCCTTGGGAAGGTTTTGGAACGTATTGTGTCACTACAGCTGAAAGCCCACATTGACAATCTCGGTTTGTTTCCAATCCACCAATCTGCCTATCGGAATCATCATTCTACTGAGACTGCAACTGTCAAGGTCCTAAATGACCTACTTCTAGCTGTAGATAAGGGTAATGAAGCTGTCCTCATCTTGCTTGATTACACTGCCGCATTTGACACTATCAACCACGACCTGTTACTCCATCGCTTAGAGAACGACTTCTCCATCACCGGCACCGTACTTCAATGGATTTGCTCCTATCTCATGCACCGAACTCAGAAGGTGATCATCAATGACACCAACTCGGAATCATTTCCCCTCATCTGCGGCGTTCCTCAGGGTTCCGTGGTCGGCCCCCTCCTGTTTATTCTTTACACCAGCCCTCTCTCAAATGTTATTAACCTTCATCAGAATATTCAACACACTATGTATGCAGACGACACCCAGATTTATGTAACTCTTCACCCAAACAGCAGGACAGTAGCCGCGAACAAACTCACCAGTTGCCTCAATGAAATCAAAACCTGGTCTTTTCAAAACTGTCTCTGCCTTAATGATTCAAAATCTGAAATGATTCATATTACTTCTAAATTTCGGAACTCAGACCCCTTTCCTGATCTTGTTATGAGTGATGGCTCTCTCAGTTGTTGTGCTTCTGTGCGTGACCTTGGTTTAAATATTGACAGCAATCTTACTTTCAAACAACACATTAGTAATATTTGTAGGTCTGCTTCCTTTGGTATATATAAGATCAGTAGAATCAGGAGGCTACTTGACAGACCCACAACTTCAAAATTAGTCCATGCTTTTGTCTCGACCCATATCGATTACTGTAATTCTTCTCTTTCTGGCCTCCCTCAGTCACATCTAGTCCCACTTCAAAGGGTACAGAATAGCGCTGCTCGGCTTGTGACTCTCTCGCGTAAATCAGAGCACATAACTCCAATATTGAACTCACTACATTGGCTTAAAATTCACCACCGCATATCCTTCAAAATTCTTCTCCTGTGCTACAAAGCTATCAATGGCTTAGCCCCCTCTTACCTTTCCGATCTCATATCCTTACGTTCCCGTACGTCGTCACGAACACTTCGTTCATCTTCCACATTACTGTTAACACCTGGACCCCGCACTAACACCCGGTATGGTGACCGCGCCTTTTCAGTTATTGCCCCCGCTCTCTGGAACAAACTGCCCGCCTTTATTCACTGCGCCCCCTCTGTATCTCAATTCAAATCTCTACTCAAAACCTATCTTTTCAAATTGTAAATTGCAGTTGTGCGTCGGTCAATGGAGGTGCGCACCATATTTGTCTTCGTCTTTATTTAGTTGATTGCCACTGTTTTTCTTACCTTATCTATGTTACTTTTGTATTTTTGCTTTTTCTTCTAATTTAATTCTACGGGTTATAGTCTTCTCTTAATCAGAACACTGTGCGCTTAGAAACATCAGTATTAAGCGCCTAATAAATGTTATGTATTATTATTATTATTAAGAAGACAATCTGATTAGATTTTGGAGCACGTAGGTCAAAGGTCAAGGATCACAGAGGTCAACTTATGAAATTCCATACATTGAGATTGTTATCATGATATCTCAAGAACCACTGGAGATTTAAACTCCAAACTTGTTTAAATTGCTCTATGGCGGAGGCATGATTTTCGACTGCGCGCAGTCAAAATTCCATCTAGTTATTTCTTGAAATACACTATGTCCCAATAATTGTTGCTGGAGCTAAAGAGACAAGGATCATTTTCGCAAGCTTTTGAAAGTACTTCTCATAGTGTGGAAATTGTGTATGCTACATATAAACAGAATATTTTTATTTATTTACTTACAAATCTCTCCTTCTCTCCACGTGTCTGTCTCTCTCTTTTTTTTTCTCTCTCTCTCTCTCTCTCTCTCTCTGTATCTCTGTCTGCCTCTCTATCTCTCTGGCTGTCTGTTTGTCTGTCTCCCTCTCTCTCTCTCTCTCTCTCTCCCTCTCTCTCCCCCCTCTCCCCCCTCTGTCTATCTGTCTCTCCCTTCCTCCCTCCCCCTCTCTACCTCCCCCCTCTCCCTCCCTCTCTCTCTCTCTCTCCCTCTCCCTCTCTCTCCCCCTCTCTCTCAGGTAACAAGTGGGATTCCTCACACCCCATCCTTGATCCCAGACACACCCTCTTTCATGAAGCCATGTCTGGATCTCTTGGACAGCATTAAGAAGGGACAGGGATCCGCTCACCGTAAGTACAATGAGAACAGTGTGGAAACTCAAGCTTTATTGATTTCTCTCTTGCTATCGCACAATCAATGCTATGTTTTGTATCATTAGAAAGGGAGTTTTTCCTTTTTAAAAATGATCATTTGTTAAGTTTCAGTCATGGAAAGCTGTGAGCATAAAAAGCAGTAACCTAGAAGAGCCGGGCTAACATTGGAGTGCCTTGAGCACTTTGAATGGTGGGTATGTGCGCTATAAAGGCCCAAGGTGAAAGGTTGCAAAATGCCCTGCTCCTGTTCAGCTGTGCATGCTCCTTTCTTTGAAGAGTGTAGGGCTGATGTGTATTGCACTGCATAACAATACCAGTGCTTACCAGTGTCTTTTGTAACTTTTCACTTTTGACCCTCTTATTCTGATGTACTGCTCATTCCATGGCTGCAAAATCATAACAAATATGGCATCAGTTTGATGAGTCTAATGACATTAAATAATGCTATAATTATCTCATGACAAGAGGGATACAAATTAATCGAACTTGAGTTTCCACACCTTTTTTTGAGGGGTTTAGATGTAATTCTATTTTTCGCCTCACAAAAAGTAAGGATTATCCTAGAATGCGTATTCCAGAATTGCATATACCCTGACGTGCATTAGTTCCATGTCTTCCTGTCTTGTGCACGTCAATGCTCTCTGTTAATTGATTTTATGTAAGTTTTAACAAAAAAGTTATTTCAAGCTTTCTGAAGGTAAATCTCTCTATTCATCTAAATATCTTTTTGCTGGTCTTACAGGGCGCCTATCCATCACCAACTCACCCAACATCTCCCCCTCCACACCCCTCCGTCAGAGGCTACTCCATTGCTTCACCGAGGAGGCCAACTCCTGCACGACAGAATCTCCTAGTACCAGCGTCAAGCTCCACAAGTCAGGACCGGTGCGACGGCCCAACTCCAGGAGGGAGCTAACAGAGGAGGACGTTGAGATGGAGATCGATACCCCCTCTGCGGAGATGGAAGTGAAAAGTAGGGGTAGGGGGCGTAGAAGCACAGCCTCTAATAGTGGTGTGAAGCTTACAGAGGGAGGCGAGGTGAAAGTTGGAACTACTGCAGAAGTAGCAACAAGTAACAAGAGAAGAGGGCGTGGGAGTGGAGCCACTCCTAGTGGTACTAAACTTGAAGCAGGTAAAGTTGGTTCCCCTTCTGCGGAGGAGTCAGGGAACAGGAGGAGCAGGAGGAGTATAGCTACTCCAAGAGGTACAACGCTTACAGAGGAAGGAGAGGGGACAATCAGTAAGCCTGTTGGGGAAGTAGCAGCAACTGCAAGCAGCAGGGGAAGAGGGCGTAGCAGGGGAGCTACCCCAAGGGGTACAACTTCAGATGTCGGTGGTGTAGGAAGTCACAGAGGAGAACCAGACAAGCCAACGTTGATGGAGAACAACTCCTCGAGTGCAGGAGATGATGAGGAGCAGAAGAAAGGGAAAGGTAGGAGAGACATTTCTTTGAAACGCAAGCTGTCTCTTGATAGTGAGGGCAGCTCTTCTCAAGACAGGACATCGGGTTTGAAGAGAAAGAGATGCAGCAGGAGCAAAGCTAGCAATGAAACAGTCACTACAGCTGCAGATAGGAGTGATACATCAGAGATGAATGATGTTTGCATCGTTTCGACTGGCATTTGTGGCACCGATGAGGGCACAAGATCTTCTATACAAGAGACAAAGTCATCAAGATTGCAAGAGGTCTTCCAAAGCTCCAAGAATGGATCAGCATCGAAGAGAAAAAGACCAATTTGTACCAAAGACAGTGATGAACTGTTATTTGCAGAGAAGTGGGGTGATTCTGGAACAGGCAACGCAGCAATCGCTTCAACGAGTACCTGTGGTACTGGTGGCACTCGATCGTCATCCAGACGACGCTCGTGCTTACCTGCCCTTCCAGTGCAGCCTTCCACCGAAGATGGACAGATGGATCAAACAAGAAGGAGAAGCAACAGGAGGAAAAGCGTAGCATCGGTTGTCAACCAGCCTTCTCTTGCTGATCACCTGAACCCTATGGGAGTACAGTCTACAGGTATGAACAGTGTCCCTGGTAAGAGGTCATCAGTGGGCAGAACAAAAGGTGTCGCCAAAGGGCTAGCTCTTTCCGATGTAGCCTTCAAGGAAGAGGAGGAGGGCCATCATCCAAAGAAGAAACAAAAATCATGCTCTCGTGGAAGTTTGCAGAAGTCTCTTTCTCCCGGAGGATCGCAGAGGTCTCTATCTCCTGGAGGATCGCAGAAGACTGGAGGATTGCAGAAGTCTACCTTTGATGGAGTGAAGGAGGAACCAGCCAAGTTTGAAGAGAAGGAGAATCAGAACGAAGAGAATGTCTTACCAAAGGCCTTGGGTCAAAGAATAGGTGAGACTGCCTACAAATTGTCCTGAAAAGGGTGAAATCAAACTTTTACTTCAAATAAAAAAAAGTCTCTTTGATAATTTAATTGAAATGTAAGGTTCATTGGCAATACTGAAAATGGCAGCCCAAGAGCTAAATTACATTCAGTTTACAATTACAATATAAGAACATGAAATACATAGCAGTGTTAAAACAATTATTACATAATGCTTGCAAAAACACATTCAGAGATAAAGTTAGTAAGATATAATATTATTACAAAAACAAAGTATGACCACCACAAAAAAGGTAGTTTAACACATCTAATGATTGTAATACAATTGCAAGTCAAAATCAAGATTAATTGCTTGAAGTATAAATTGAATCATTGCATAGAGTCAGAACTGTAGTGCTGTATTTTCATTTTTTATTGCTTAGATCAGTGAGTTAGTTTTTTGAGTGACAATAAGGAGATCATAAAAGATTACTGAACTATGCTATCTATTCTTTGGATTCTAATGACTCTGCAATTTGATTCTACACAAAATTGAATGGATCTAATTTCTCATGCGATGTTGATAGATAACTGACAGTTTGAAGTTCTTTCAACTAGACAAAGAAAATAATGGGATAAAATAAGGTAGAACATACTAGTAAATAAAAGGATAAATATTGAATATTGAAGGTGAATATGGAGTGGAAAAAAGAAGCATTAAAGGTACTATGTCCCTTTTGCAGCCAACCTCAAATTCTGTAGAACTTTGCAGGAATTATGAATATGTCATGTATGTCCTATCTGTGAAATTTAAACGTTAGCAGTGTCCTCATATTAAAATTATGCAAGGAAACCCGTTTACTTGCTAGACTTCACTGTAAGACACTATTGAGTGACTGACTGGCCTTTTTCTTCATTGGTAATAACATACATGAAAAGAGTTGTAAAGGGTACATGAGCATTTGTCTACATCAATAACCCACTTCTTGTGATGGCCAAGATTGAACTGATTGAATCTTTGAGCAGCATAAAACGTATGACTATTCGGTACAATTTTCTGAAAATCAAGACTATTACTTTTGGGCTCGATAGCCCTAAAGTCGATTTGACAACTAATAGTCTTTATTTTCCCACTTGAAGACATTTTCAAGCCCCACTTTTTTTAGGGAAGTTCTAAATAAGTATTATCTTTCAAATGCAGTTGGAATTTAACTTTTTCATTTTTTTGGCCTGCAAATGGGACATAGTAACTTTAATGCATCTTTTTTATTCTTCTCTTGCTATTTATTTTGTTAACAGGAAGCATGAATGAAAATGATGGGAGAAAGAGGAAGCTGTTATCCCCTCTCCCAACGGATTTGACTTGTTCCTCTATCCTCTCATCGATTGAAGTTCAGAACAGACCCAGCATCGAAGAGTTCAAACTAGAAGGTAAATTGGCAACAAAAGCTTTCAGAAAGTGTAGTGTCTAGATCAAAGTGTCTTTCCTTCTTCTTTTTTTGTATTGGAAGTTAGAATGAGTTCTGATAATGCAAAAAAAAAATACATTGAACAGCAGTTGATGAATGCAATTTTATTTTGGTATGTATCGGTCAAAATGGGGCTGTGCATGTCTTTTGATATTTTGTTTAGATTTTATATGCATTTTGAGTGAAGTAATTTAATTGAATTACTTTAATACAAGCCCTTAATTTGTTTCACTTTTCAAAAGTTACTTGTCCCATGATGTGAACAATTTGCAAAAGCTTTCTGTTACAAATATTTCTTCTTTAACAGTATTCTTTTTGTTTATAAATAGCATGAGGTGGGGGTTATTATTATTAATCATAATGTATACAGTAGGCTTACGCTTGCACCATGTGAGAGAGGGGGAGGATTGGGGAGTCCTGAAAAGGACTCTCTGTAATCTTTCTTTCTTGAGTGTGTGTGTAGTCCTGAAAAGGACTGTTGGTAATCTTTCTTTGAGCTTATAGTTCTAAAGAGAACTATATAGCGCCAGCTGGAGAGGATGGGTAGTAGGCACTAGGCAGGGGAAAACAAAAAAAAATGTTTTGGGGGGGGGGGGCTACTTTTCAACCTTGCCTGCATGAAAATAACATTCTAAATTTGTTTTGCATTGAACTCTATTCAAATTTTTGTGGGCTATTTCGCCCTGAGCCCCCATGTATTTTTTTCACTGGTAGTAGGAGGGGCTCTTAATCATAATTTACATACATTCATTTTCCATAGGATCCATCAGACATAGAGCAAAGAGATCCACCTTGAAGAAGGATTCTGTAGAAGCCCAGCTGTGTACAAGCAGTGAAGACAGCGTGGTATCCTCAGAGGACTTGGATGACACAAGGAAAGAAACCAAAGGCAAGCTTCGTCAAATCCTGCTTAAACTTCTCTTTTCTTTTCCTTCCATTTTGCCAACAACAAAATTCTTTGACTGTTGGATTGTTGTGTGTGTGTTTGTGTGAATTTTGAGTGTATGATTAGTTGCGTTATCCAAAAGTCACCCAAAACTTACGAAAAGGCTTAGGCCCGTATTCTGAAGTCGTGTCTGACTCCTGTTTAACTAAACAGTTGTCTAAGTCCTGTCTAAGTCCCGTCTAACTTTAGACACGAAGTCGTGTCTAACTTTTTTCGTATTCTGAAGTTGTGTTTAAATAAAGTTAAACACGAAGTCCTGTCTAAGTCCTGTTTAACTTTAGACAACTGCGAGAGGTTGTTTAAGTCCTGTTTAAGGGCGCGATTATGCTGCTTTTCAACGTCTACGGTACACTCTACTTGCTGACCCCGAACTTGTGGGGAGAACGATGGTACGTGCATTCTATAAAATTTCAAATACATTTTGCAGGATTTTTTCTCGATAATATTAACTATTCTTATCTAATGGTGACATCTTGGAAATTCCATAATCTATAATAAACTAACCATTCTGTTGGAGAAGTTTCTTTGCTGGTTCTTCCGAGCACTGAGGCACTGATAAGTGATATTATTAGTGCGTTTGTGTACAGTGTACGTGTAGTACACGTACGTCACACAGTGCAATACATGCATGCAGTCTAGTCATTACGTCACGATCACATCACCATGGTACCAGTACGCGCACAGCTAGGCACGCGCACTAGCTGGCTGTGCCCGTTAATTTATTTATACGCATGCGCATTGGGTCTATCGTCAGAATTAATGCCTACTGGGCATGTGCAGAAGTCGTGACTGAAAGTTAAACAAGACTTGCGCAGAACTTAAACAGTTGTTTAGTTAAACACCACTTAGACAGGACTTAAACAGTTGTTTAGTTAGACGAGACTTAGACACGACTTCAGAATACGAAATTTAGTTAGACAGGACTTAGAAACGACCTCGCGTCTAAGTCCTGTCTAAGTCGTGTCTAACTAAGCAGTTGTTTAACTTTAGACGTGGCTAAGTTAGACACGACTTCAGTAAACTGAAAAAGTTGATAAACCAAAATGTCTCCGGTTTGTTGTGGAAATCAATGATGACTCTTCAAGTGATCTCTAATTAAGTTATCTCTTCAAAATATCTTTAAAAATCCATCTAATTTAGCCATGTGGCAACTGAAGGTCATGTAATTTCGATTTTTCTTTGTTTCTGCCTGTCGGTTAATATTTCTTTATTTCCGTCTTCAGGTAAATCAACAGCCAGTAAAGAAAAGAAAAAGAAAAGGAAGAAAGTGACTTTGTCCGACAGTATAACAACAAGCAGAAAGGTGAGGAGAGTTGCTTGCAATTAACAAACATGTATCACAATGATATTAATTTCAATTTTCGATTTATATAGCGCTTAATACGGAATATCGTCTCTAAGTGCTTAACAAATATTATAACCCGTTCATCGGATTCATTCACGCACAATGTGCACCATCTCCACTTCCTGGGAAGTATTCCAACCTAACACAAATGCTTTCGTCATCCTACAAGGTCCCCATTTCTCTCTTGGGTATTGAGTGGCAAATGTAGATTAATGCCTTGCCTTGACACTAATTTATAATTACGCCTCCTAATTTTGGTTGTTTTCTTGCTACAAACAACTATTCACTTAAAGACGAATATTACACTTTTTTAGTTTGGACATGTAAGATTCAATATTCGAATTTAGGCAGTCACCTCTCTAAGGGATATTGAAGTCATCATATTTAAAAGATTTGTGTACAATATACAGATAACAACTAAATTATTCATACCCCTTGTAAATTTGATGTCTTCATAACTCAAAAACGAAAGGTGGACTGTTTGAATTATGTTTTAGTATGTCACACTCTCAAGAAACACAAATCTGAACAAATCAATTTTTCACATACTTACAAAATTGCAAAAATTTGGTATAAATAATTTAGTGTCAACTGTACATTTGAAGGTTTATAAAGGTTCATGATACAGCTGTGTCATTTTGGGAGGCAAAGTCGATGCATTTATGCATGATTGATTTTGTGAGAATTTGGGGACATTAAATGTTTTTCCTAGGATATTCCATGACATCAGACATTAGTACTTCAGAACTTTTACCAGATTAACTTGTGCATATCAATTAACTTGTTGACCACTGAATTTTTGCAGCTCCCAATGCTTCATACAGAAACCACCAGGTATATGGAGGCATACTACATTTGGTTAAACACTGGTTGGTTGATTTTTTCCGGTTTGACAGATGCTTTTCAACTTTATTTGCATTTTATCTTGCAGAAGAAATCAACAATTGTAATGACAAGCTTGCATAGGAGGTGAGTTTTCTATCCTGATTTTTCGTAAATTAGTTTTTATCTTGTCTTTTAACATTTGCAGAACTCCAGTAAATTTTAGTTGTGCATGCCTAGACTACATAGGCATCACAGGTAGGGAGAATTAAAGGCATCGTTTAACAATATTAAATCTGAGATGCAGGGCCCTACCTGTCATCAGTGACTGTGATATGGTGTAATATTGAAGCCCTAAACAAATTGAGACAAAGTTACCCAATCCCTTTACAGAACATTTGACTGTTGGTTGGTTTGTGGTTGGTTTGTTTTACCTGACTGCTAAGAAAGCATGTGTATGCTTGTAAGTAAGTGACCAGGAAAGCGACGGCTTTAAGTCCGCTCCGAGGGACTTGGTAATGACGATTAATGCCTTACCAAAGGGCACTATAGTGCATCAAATCACTTTGGTACAAGACCACTGCTCTACCACTGAGCCATCGGGCTACACCTTGTTGGAAAAATATAATCCGAAGGTTTTATCTCCTAAAAGCAACAAATCGAATATGTATTTTTATATTTGTTTTTTCTCTCTCCCTACCCCCCCCCCCCCAACCCCCTTTCTCTCTCTCACTCTCTCTACGCCCCCCCCCCCCTCCCCCTCTCTCTCTCTCTCTCTCTCTCTCTCTCTCTCTCCTTCCCTCTCGATATCCCTTTCTTTCTCTCTCTTTTTCTCTCTTTCTGTCTCTCTCCCTGTCTCTCTCTGTCTCCCCTCCCACTCTCCCAATCTCGATATTCTTCTCTCTCTCCTGCAGTGACCAAGAGATTGTCCTATCGGTTGTGAAGGACCTGGGAAGCTTTGAAGTGACTGATAGCGTGTGTGAGACCACTACTCATGTGGTGGTTGGTGAGAACAGGAGGACGCTCAATGTTCTCTCTGGCATCGCAAGGGGGTCCTGGATTCTCTCTATGGACTGGGTGAGTCTCCTTTCTTCTCCCGTACCATGGAGAGGGGTGGGGGAGGGGATGCTTATCTTCCCCCCCCCCCCCAAAAAAAAAAAAAGAAAAAAGAAAAGAAAAGAAAAGAGAAACAAAATAATGATGATGATGATGATAATAAATTAATAAATAAATATTTTGTCTTCTTCTTCTGGGAATTCATATTTCCTACTCATTTCCTGGCTTATCATGGCTTTTCCTTTTTTCAGTGTAGTGAATTATAATAATAAATAATAATGGGTTCTTGTATAGCGCTCATGTCAGTCATTCTTTCTCTACACTGCGTTGCTCTCCTTTGTTTGAAAAGGAAACTTATTTCTTCTTTGTAATTGCTTATGTTGCATCATCACTACCATCATCATCATCACCACCACCACCACCCCACCACCATTATCATCACCATCATCATTATCACCATCATGACCCACAGCTGTCTCTTTGTTTTACACATTGGGATTTTATATTGGAATTTAGATCCCGGTCCACAGTGTAAAATAGTTTTTGTATTTTAGGTTTAAAAAGTCACTCCACACTTTTGAATGCAGCTGCTAAGAAATTAGAATATGTTAGTATCTTGCTATTCATCAACAAAAACATCTAATGAGAAGATTTTTTTTTTTTTTTTTTTTTTTTTTTTTGGGGGGGGGGCAATACCAAATTATAAATGGGCTAAAGCCTTTCCTATAGTCAGTAGACATCATCAGATATATCCACCATCAGATATATCTACATATACTTGTAGAGGTATTATATTTTATGTCCACTTGATTTGCCTTTGATAGGTTTATCGTTCCATAGAGGCTGGGTCATGGCTACCTGAGGAACCTTATGAGATGAATGTCTACTTTCCTGGTGCAATGGTAAGTTTTTAATTTTGAATTTATTTTATTTATTTCACACGCTCGAATGTATACAGAAAACAAACAATATAACAAACTGGAGGATATTCCATCTGGAAACAATATTATAAAAATTGCAATAGTTTGGTAACATTATTGACAATTACTGGTAAACAAATTTGACATTTTGGACATTATTGAAGGTAAGACTATTTCTATGTGACTTGTGATAATGAGGGGCTAATTGATGAATCAAAATGATTTATTTCATGAAAATGTAGGGTGAGGTTCAGGTTGCAAATGAGTTTAGCTAAGGATTAGGTTTAAAACATCCACTTTCCTGGTGCAATGGTAGGATGATTTATTTCATTAAAAATAAATACAAGTTAATAATAATTGGGGGTTCTTGTGTAGCTTTCGTATCTGTCAGACATGACACTCCTGGCGCTCCACAATTATTACCCCGGCATTAGCATAGCAGCCATTACGGCACTCTAACATTTCAAGGAATCAATTACTGTCAGGTACCCATTTACATCACCTGGGTAGAGTGTGGAAAATGTAGATTAATGTCTTGCCAAAGGACATTAGTGCCGCTGAGGGTCTCAAACTGTGAACCATGTGATTATAACAGTCCAGCGTCGCATCCACTCAACCACGACACCTCTGCAAACATGTTTAGCTAAGAATTAGGTTTATAACAGCAGATTTCTCATGCACCTACTTCCCTTGAAGGAATGAAATGTAGAATATTGTTTTGATACTTTCTGATGAATTACATAACTTTAATGGTAATGGAAGAGACCTAATATTCAATATGTAAATTTAAAAGAATTTAATTTGCAATTCTTATGAGAGCTGGTATGGTGTTGATATTTGAAAAATGAGTGACTTTTGTTGTGTTGTTATTACAATTATATTTGACTACCAGGTGAAGGAAAACAGTAGATTTTAAAATAACAATAGAAATTATAGCAATTTATTCCACTCTTCAAAAAAACAAGAAATGAGCACAGCATACCTAACCACACTTTTTCTCCCCATGATAAATCAACAGATATCAAGGCTAGCACACGGGGCGAAATCTGACTCAGAGACATCTCCGGTGGATATTTTCTCCTCGTGCGCAACCCTCTATATTCCGCCGGAGAGCAATCCTCCGAGGGAGAGATTGTTGGAGCTTGTAGAGTTGTGTGGTGGTCACATCTCCAGGAAAGTTTCAGATGCTAAGCTGTGTGTTGGAGGCAGTGGTAGGGGAAAGAAGGGATCGGCAACAGTCGTAGCTGAGAAATGGATTCTGGGTAAGCTATTTGACTGTGCCTTACTGCCTCTGAAATGGTTGGGTTAACTAATCAATCTTTTAACCAAAATCCTCCTTTATAAACAAGATTGCACAATACATTCAAATCAGTTAAATCTCTTTCTTTGTAGTCATTTGATGTCATTACACACCCAAAGGCCAGTTCTCCTTAAAGCTCAATATACTGTATGTAGGTGTTTCAGACAAATGAGCACATTGGTCTTTCTCATCAAAAAGAAAAAGTTTTTTTCATTCTTGATAGTGATACATATACATGAAGGAAGTATCCATATTGTCATCCTCTCTGTTTGCTTTTGAAAAATTCCCTTTCATTTCGTGTATTTGAAAATGTGAATATACAAAGAATGATGAAGGACTTAGGACACTGTACTTGCATTTAGCCAAAGAAAAAATAATGCATAATAAATAAATAAATAATTCTCTTTCTCCTTCTCCTTCTCCTTCTCCTTATCTTTCTCTGTCTTTCTCTTTCTCTTTCTCTTTCTCTTTCTCTTTCTCCTTTTACTCCTCTTCCTTATCTTTCTCCTTATCTTTCTCCTTCTCCTTCTCCTTCTCTTTCTCTTTCTTTTTCTTCTAAATAAAGTCTGGTTATGTGTTATTATTGTATTTGAAAAACAGACCTGGCAAACATAATGCAATAATCTCCTCTTTGCTGGTTTAATCATTTGATTTTTTTCTCTTTTCAGACTGCATTACAAGATTCAAGCTGTTGCCATGGGATCCATACAAAGTAAATAAATCTTGAGATGAGAACTCGACAATCAGCTTATTTCTACAGGAGACCCAGAAAGTAACAGAATTGTCTACGGGAAATCAAAATTCAGCAGTAACTCCGATCAGAATATAACAAGTCTGTGTCTAACAAAATCTTTAAAAAATTACCATGTACACCACTTGTCTGGAGAGTGGGTTTGCGCGCAGTATGCATTGTGTCACATGACTTTAACAGCTTATTGTTAAAGGAAATGTTCCTATCAAGCTTGATAATTTCCCAATTTCAATTGGTCTCCTGATTTTTTATTTTTTCCCCTTTTCTTTTAATTTGTTAAATATATTTTTAAAATATTTTATATATATATTTTCTTTCTTCCATAAATCCGGTTTAAAATTAGGGGGTAATTAAAGGTGTCGTTTTTTCACGACTTGTCAAGAACAACCATTATTTAAAACGTATGCGTAACATTTTGATATGTAAGGCATTGTCAAATAGTGTTAACATGAATGTACTGGCAATGACTTAAAAAGACCAAAATACTAAGGTAGTAATTGCACAAATTTTCAATTTTCTGATAATCTGCCTTCTCTTGCCTCCAACAGTGAAATCATGCATTTTCAATACGGGCCCCGTCTTATAAAGATTTGATATTAATCTCAGCTATATCAATGGCAGCTAGCTATGTACATAAGAGCTAGGAGACTGAAAAGTTGCGATTGATTGGAGGACTTGCCATTGATTTAGATCAATCGCTACTCTTTATAAGACAGATCAATTGACAATTTATATTAATTCTTCTTAAATACGTGAAAGGAGGGAGTTTAGGGGAAAACAAAAACATATGATGGACTGTAGCCTTTTATAAAGATGTGTGTGTGTGTGTATTGTGCATGTTTAATTTTTATTACTGCTTACCGGTAGTTGTTTGATGTGCTGAAGGGCAATTCTGTGCAATGTTTCTAGTACGACATATGACATTCATCCATCTTATTACATCCAAAAATTGATATCCCTTGATATGACCAATGGTAAACAATTTTTCCTGGTAAGATTAGCAATGTGAGATGGTTATTTTGAAGAAATATTCAATTTTTTGAGGAAATATGGTATAGAAAAAAAGATGGATGTCATTAGGACACTTAGCTCTTAATCGCCCTGAAGTACATTAAAATTCATTGATGAAGTATTTTTTTTTTTTGGTCAGAATATTCTGATAGGTAAGAATATGTGTATGTTTGTTTGTGCTATATTCTTAAATTTGCAATATATCACTTTTCTTGCTTGTAACTAGACAAGTAATGTATAATTTGCTAATTCCTGTGAATCCCCGCCCCGCCCCCTTTGTAAATACACTCCGTCATGAATATTGCACATTTTAAGGGCATTTGATTGTGTGTTGTGTGCTATGACTTCAGCTGAGATTGGGCTAAATGTATAATGGTACTTCCAAAACTTGTCACATTTTTATCCAGGTAAAATCACAGGAATGATGTAGAAATTAGCCAACATCAAAAAGATTAACTGAAAATTAAACATTATTTTACATTTGCCACTCTCAATCCAGGTGTAGAAATGGGTACAAAGTGAGGTATAATTTCATGAATGTTGCAAACCTCTAAGGCAGATTCTTCTTCTTCCAGTATAAAAATAGTAGACTGCCATTGGCGTATTATTGTACCTTGTGCTTGTCAAGTGCCGAGTGAACAGTAACTACAGTGCAAGTAAACTTGCTTATAATATAATGAGACAACAGTGCTTGTATAGCGCATATCATTGCTGTAGCATCTCAAAAGCTATGCGCTTAGGAAGAAAGATATAAGAGAGAGATATAAGTGCTGTAAATGCCTGACTTTAACTCGGTCGAAATATTGTTTAAACAAGTATGTTTTAAGAGAGTTTTGAACTTATAACTTGTGGATGCTTCCTTCATGAACTCTATGTGCAGCTTTAAAAAAATAAGGCTGAAGCTTTAATTAGCAGAGCTTATAATGTGTTGAACCTTCTGCTTGAAAAGGTCCAAAGAGGTGCAACTGATAACAGCAGGTGTTAAGGAGATTTACTAATGCCATAGTAATAGTTGTATAGTTGTACTTTGTATAATTAGGTGTCTTGAACATCCACTCTGATGTATATGTAAAGATAAAGTTGAGTTCTGGCCATGCGATTGCATTGTGAAATCGATCAGAAAAGATTGACTATCTAGTATATAAATATTTGTGTGTACTACCAGATTCTGGAATCATAAGAAATAAGAAATTTGGTCCTGTCTTGGTCAATTTAGTTACAAGCACTGTACACAGAAATGTGTATATGGGACTACACAAACATGTGGCTTAAGAATCCGTCCTGACTTTATGATGTTGAAGAGTCATGCTTTTCAGGGAACATTTTTTATCTGATGTTCTTCCACACTTCCATGATACAATGATAATGCTCACAAACTATTCCCATGCAGAACTCAACCTTCTCTGTAGGGGTAATGATATGTGAGATTTATAAGGTGTCAAATCCACTTGAAATCAAATGCTCAAGGTGCACTTGTGAAACAAAACACAACAAAAGAAATTACATAAAAGCATCAGCATTATGAACAAGGTAACAGATGTAGAATAGAACATCAAAATTGACAGCAATTTTATTATATGCCTAATTAAACAAATATGTTTAAGATTATTTTTAAACACTTCAACTAATCTACTATTATGAACCTCTCAAAGGAGAGCATTCCGCAGCAAGGCTCTGCATGAGCAAAGGTTCTCCCCCTCCCCCTCACCACTTAGTATTGAGATTAGGAAGAACGAAGAAAATGTAGATATTCTTCTGTTTCTTATAGAAAAAAAAGTGCTCTGAATTATGACTACATACTTTCTTCCTCCAATTATTGGTTGTATTGATTTGTTTATTCTGTTTTACTTTGGTAAGGATGAAAACAAATTCTTAATTTTTACTATTTTTCAGTGCTATATTTATATATCTAATGTGTGAAATGTACCATTATTTTTAGGCTTTAGTTGAATTCTTTCTTTTGAACTTGCATCACCAGTACATTAGAGATGTATGCCATAATAAATGCTTTACTATGATATTATTTTTAGAGTTATATTAGATTTTTATTCTCCCCATTGCAATGTGTTGAATATTTATCCCATATATTCATTTGCTCCTTCATTTTTAATAAAAAATATATTAAATACATTGTATATATAGTGAATGCGTCCTTTTTTTCCCCCTGCAAGTGGTGAGCTGTCTTGAGAAAGTCATATTCTACACATGTATTGAAACTTTTTTTAATTTTTTGTGAGGTTCATTGATCAGTTTGTCCCAACTAGCAATCAACCATAATATGTCTGCTTAGTTGTGCATGCTCTCTCTCCCTCCTCCCTCCCTCTTCCTCCCTTCCCCCCCCCCCCCCCCCCCTTCTCTCTCTCTAGATCTCTGTCTTTCTCGATCTCTCTCTTTCTCTTTCTCTTTCTCATCATCCTGGCATCCTCTTGAGCTTAAGTTGCATTAAAATCTGTGGCGGATGGGATACAAAAATCATCATCTTATACCCCAAGAGCTAGCACCAAGATTAATTTTTTTTCTTTAAAAAAAAAAATTTAAAAAAAAATCATTAATTTTCTTGACCCCTCCGTCAGTGGACCCCTCCCCCATAGACCATGTGTGTTCGCGATTCTTGAGACGAGGTTGACAAACCAAAATGGCGACTTCCATGCGACACGTGAAGCGTCGAGAGCGCTTGAAGAAATTCACTAAAATGAAGAGAGAATCACAAAAACAGCCTAGTAGTTTGCTCGACCAGAAGTGGAAGCCATTTGAAGTGGATATGTCTGCATTTGCCGATAAGGAAATGGGTGGATTCGTGGGAATTGAGATTCTAACTGATTACGATCCAAACCTGCTGAAGAAACAAATGAGTGGGACTATGGGGAAGGTAAGCATGTTCGTTCATAATAGAAGAACGTGTGATTTGTGTGAATGCGAAGTGCGTGCACGTGCACGTAGATAGATGTACACAGACTGGATTGATCCGAAGAGGTCTAATGCAGTGTTATATAACGTATAATTAATGCAGACAAAAAGCGATAATAATAATTACTTCTGCTTTCTTTCTTCCAAGTTCTTATTATTATTCTCCTCCTCATTCTCCTTCTCGATCTTTTTGAATTTTGTTTTCTTCTCCCTCTTTTCCTTCTCCCCTTTTCCTTCTCCTTCTTTTCTCCTCTTCCCTTCTCTTCTCTATTTTTAGTTCTTTTTCTCCTTCTCCTTCTCCTCACCTCACCCTTTCTCTTCTTTTCTCCTCTTCTCATTTTCTCCCTCTCTTCTCATTTTCTCCCTCTTCTCATTTTCTCCCTCTCTTCTCATTTCTCCTTTTTTTTCTCCTCTTTTCCTTCTCCTCTTTTCCTTCTCCTCTTTTCCTTCTCCTCTTTTCCTTCTCCTCCCCTTCTTGATCCTCCCCCTTCCCTCTCCCCCCCTCCTCCCCTCTTTCCCCCTCCTCCCCTCTTAGGTGCTGTAGGTGCAGTCTGCTTGAATTATTTACTAAAATTGTAATATTCTATCTAAACAACAAAGCATGCTTTTTTTCTTAAAATTGAAAATAAAAGTTTTAGACATTCTTGTTTATCAGATGGACATTGAAAACATAAAATTGAGCTCTAATTAATTAAACTTGGTGGCACCTTGTGGGTTGCAACAACTAAAATCACTTGATGCTCTGTGTCATTGTATCCGATCTTGCTCTTCATTTCTCAACAGGGGTCCAAATCATCTAAGAAACTACAAGATAAACAGAAAACCTTACCCAGCAAAGCAACGGTCAAAAATAAGACAAAAGGTGATAAAAAGAAAGAAAAGAAGAGTGTAGATGATACTAACCCCAAGAGCCCCGAGAACCCTGAGAGCCCCAAGAAAAACATTCTAGATCTATCAAAAGAAAAACAAGATAAATCTGCTGATATTAAGACAAGGACTAAACAGCAAACTGCTCAAAGTGAAGGCAAGGATATGAAAGACACTTTGCAGAGTAAGGAGGTTGAACTTGAAGCGAGTCCTGGAAAGTCAAGAATTAGGAAGAGAAAGTCAGGGAAACAAAAACTTCGAGAAATGAGAGCTAAAAGGAAGAGGAGGAAGAGTGAGCAGGAGAGAGAAGAAGCAGAAGCAGAGAAGACAGACCCCAAGGACAGTCTGGATGAATACGGTGAAGATACAGCAGGAGAGAAAATCAGTTCCGGTGAGTGTTTACTTGTCAGCATTCATGACCTTTGCATGAAAACGACAACCCCTCTATCTCTTCTTTTTTTTTTTTTTTTCCCCCAGTTTTTAATTGAGCATTAATCATGATTCTTTTATTTAGAGTATCCAATCTCTTTCAAGCCCTAAGTCTGATCCACCCTATTACAACATAGAAGACCTACAAAGATGTCTACTTGTCAATGTCTAATTAAAGGGGCTGGTGAGACTTGAAAGAGTATCTGTTTTGGGAATGAGGGAAAGAGGCAAGGTGTTTGCAGTTTTTAATACAACCAGGGCTTTTTCTTGGAAGTATATCACTTTTCAGCAACATTTCATGCTCAAATTTATAGCTGATATAATGTCTAAACATGTCCATCAGTTTTTAGGAGAAAATTTTTTCTGAAATTCTTTTATCTAGAGTATGCGATCCATTCCTACATGTAAATCAATCCAGAAAATTGTAGAGGACCTACATGTATGTGCAGTTTCTCAATCAAAGGGGGCTGGCAGTACTGATGAAGTTTTAAAGATAAACAGGGATTTTCCCTCCAATAAACATAATGTAGTTGAAAAATATATGATGCATGCAGCAGAATTTTTTTTGATATCATGCCTCAACATAGGGTGGAATAATTGAAATCTTTCCTTTCTTTCCTTCATTTGAATCTAGAAGTTTCCATGTCCACTTGGGACACCCTATCCATCCCCACCGTGGTGCATGAATCCTTACAGACCATGGGGTTCGCCAGCCCCACCCCCATCCAAGCCGGCTGCATACCCGCCGCTATCAACGAAGGCAAGGACATAGTAGGAGCTGCAGAAACGGTAAGTTTTGTGTGTTTTATTCAATTCAATTCAATTCATATTTATTTCATTTTCAATAGAAAGATAAACAAAGGCATTACATTTTTTTCATACATTATTCATTTTTCTTGGTAACTATACAAATACACTTTTGCACATAATAAAATTATTACAAGAAATTCTTAATTTCTGAGGAAATGGGGGATCCACTAAAAAGCAGTGCTTGTAGTTTGTGGATCTCCCCAAAATAAAGTTGTTTCAAATTGTCAGGAGGGGGTCTTTAGGAGAAAGGGGAGAAAAAGCCATGCAGCCACATTAGCACTCGGTATCCTAAAGTGCACTAAGATCCAATTAGCAACAAAAAAACACGACAAAATAAACGTTGGAGCTGTGAGTGTTTAAGTTTTAGAATGCTCCAAAATAGCTCTTTTAAGAAGAAAAGAGCTTTGGCTAGAAAATATAAAATATAAAAAAAGTAAGTTGATTATACGCAGTAAAACCCATGGACAGAAAATGTTGTTTATTTTACACTAGTGGTTATTGAACAGGGCGTTGTGGCGTGCACCTGTAATCCACCTACAATGAAAGTTACAAACTGATTCAGCCGAGTGCGCAGGTTCGAAACTGAGTCACGTCTTTCGGATGGTGGCGTTAAAGGTCGGTCCCCAGACGTAAATAATCATATCTGATTGATACATGTCTGTAAGAACCCAATTACACACACACACACTCAGTACTATCAGAGGTTATGAAATTTATGATGTATGCCTGCAACATGTGCAATTGCCTTTTTTCCTCTACTTGTTGCTTAATTATAATAGCATGTGAAATGCAAGACTGCATGCTATTGGATTAATTACGTTTCTTGTTCACTTTTGCAGGGGAGTGGAAAGACATTGGCCTTTGGGATACCGCTGATATACAGGATACTGCAACACGAAGCAGCACTTGCTTCAGGATCGACGTCGGTAGCCACGGCGGACCCGACTGAAGACGAAAGCGGACAAGATGGATTGGAAGGTGAAGCGAAAGATGAGGGTAGTGAGCAAGACGATGAGGAAGGGATGGAGGACGATGAGAGGGATGGGGATGATCCTAGCATGATGATGACTGGCATGGAAGCAAATGAAGGTGATGATGACCTCAGTGACGATGATGTTGACGTTGACGATGACATTGATGACAGTGATGATGATGTTGAGGATGATGACAGTGATGATGATGATGGAGAACAGGTAGACATGCAGAAGCTGAAGACGCAAATGAAGTGCGTCGATGTCGTCGATAACATCGCGGATGAGGACTGGCTAAAAGCTGGACTACCGTTGACCAGCACTCCGGCCGGTGGGCTTGACCAGGAGAAGAAACTCTTTGGACTGGTCCTGACACCCACCAGGGAGCTGGCTGTGCAGGTCAAGAACCATCTGGTCGCAGCAGCGAAAAAGACAAATATAAAGGTCAGAAATGTAATTTGTTACTTGAATTATGGCAGGGTCAAAACATTTTTGGATCGTTGATTAAAATCAAAGTCATAAATACCAATTTGTCTTGCAATAAGCCAGTTCATAGTTGCAGTCTGAGCATGAGCAGATCAAGGTCATTGCAGAACAAATTGTGAAATACATGGAGACAAAATACTGGATACGTGCTCATGAAAGTTATGCAATCATTATTCATTTATGCACAAGCAGCGCACTCCATGAAACACAGGCGGAAGTATTCTTTGAAAAGGGGAAACAAAGGCTATTTATATAGCACCTCCATCGCCGTAGGAGTGATTATTTCAAAATTTACAAAGTGGGACCTCTTCATGTTTTAAAGATCTGTGGATATTCGGGGTCATTGCAGTACTGTGCTAACCATGAACTGGTCTATTATGCATGTCTTTAACTCAAATTGACAGTACATAGTACTTTCAGGGGCCAAAAGATCCATCGATTTGTGAGGCTAACACTTTTATTGCTGTAGGTGGTTTTAACTGCTCCGATTCCAACATTGCATGAAGCATTTGGAACAAGAGAGACTCTTCTTTCTTTTGAATCATTGAAACAATCTCCTAGTTGTAAAGTATAAAACCGTGGAACATTTATGATGGAAAATGAAAACATAAATCCTGATTGCTACAAATCAGGATTTTAAATCTTCTTTGTGAAACTGTTTGCAAACTTTGAGACGATGTAAATGTTATTTTTTACTTGATTTCTTCCAGGTTGCTGTGGTTGTAGGAGGAATGTCGGCAGAGAAACAGAAGAGGGTCTTGAAGAAAAGACCAGACATCATTGTGGGTACACCAGGAAGGTTATGGGAGCTCTACCAATTGGTAAGTTATGTCCAGGTGAATTCCCCCAACCCCCTAAGATATGGTTCCAGTCTGTGAAAATAATCTTTGTTGTAGGTTTGTTGTATGAAATGTTTCTTTTTAACGCCTGTCTGCACTAGTTTGGCCTGGAGGGATTAGACCTCCCTGCATGGTCACTGACAGGTGGTTATCTCATCAAATCAGCTCTCAATTAACACAAGAAAAGGGGGATCATGGGGAACCAACAGGTACTGCTTAGGCATCGTTTGCTATATACAGGGCGCAAGTAGCTACAAGTAGTGCAGTCCCACTTTAAATGAGATGAAAGTGTATAGGAATAATGTGCCCCATGAACCTTTACAAATGCAGGCTCATATTCATAAGAGCAGTATAAGTATACAGAGCTGAATGATCAAAGAATATTTAAAAGTAAAACTTTTCTACTGAATTTTAAAAAAAACAACAGTTTCTTCGCATACCGGCATTTGCTGTAAAGAAATCAAAATGCAAAGATGGTGATTCCAGACTTTGAATGTCATGTCACAAATGAACAATTAAAAAAAGAATTATATTTAGAAAAGAAAAGACCAGACCAGGTGGAAACTGCTTGTGTCCGATCTTATGAACCAGACCAAAGCTTTAGGAAGAGCTTTTGGATTAACTCAACGATATACAAAAATAAATGAGAAAGGATTTTGATCTTAAAATTGAAAAAGGCCTTAAAGTGACTCCATAACATTGCCTCAGATTCTGAAACAAAATCCTGGATTTAGCTCATGCTGCAATTGTAATTACTAACCTTTAGGGCAGTCAGGAATCCCATGACTTTTACAAGCCGATCGCCTGTCTGATTATCGAGACATTTATGATTGGAAATCAAAATTTCATTTTAGTTTTCCTAACAGTGTTTATAACACTACAGTCTACTGGGGAAAATGAGAATGGTAAAACCGGTCACTCACGGATTTTTACTTTTTTGAGGCACTTCTTGATCATTTTGAAGCGCAATTTTTTAGGGCTTCAATATTACACTAAATCACAGACACTAATAACACTTGATGCCATGCATCTCAGATTTAACATTGTCAAACAATGCTTAAGAGAGAAGATTTAATAATCAACCTCTTTATCCCCCCCCCCCCTCCTCTCCTTTCTTCCTCTTTTACACCCCTACCTGTCCTCTGTCTGTCTCATCCACAGGGTGAACCTCACCTTGCCAGCCTGCCTGACGTCAAGTGTCTGATCATTGATGAGGCTGATCGTATGGTGGAGAAGGGTCACTACGCAGAGCTCTCTGAGATATTAGACATTTTAAACACGTGAGTAATTGGTATTGAAAGTACATTCAATCAAATGTAATAGGAATCAACTGTCTATTAAGGCCAACTGTGTATAGTGGTCAATTGTATTGACATCCAGTGTCTGATCATCGATAAGGCTGATCGTATGGTGGAGAAGGGTCACTACGCTGAGCTCTCCGAGATATTAGACATTTTAAACACGTGAGTAATTGGTATTGAAAGTACATTCAATCAAATGTAATAGGAATCAACTCTCTATTAAGGCCAACTGTATATAGTGGTCACTTGTATTGACATCCAGTGTCTGATCATCAATGAGGCTGATCGTTTGATGGAGAAGGGTCACTACGCTGAGCTCTCCGAGATATTAGACATTTTAAACACGTGAGTAATTGGTATTGAAAGTACATTCAATCAAATGTAATAGGAATCAACTCTCTATTAAGGCCAACTGTGTATAGTGGTCACTTGTATTGACGTCCAGTGTCTGTTCATTGATGAGGCTGATCGTATGGTGGAGAAGGGTCACTACGCTGAGCTATCTGAGATATTAGACATTTTAAACAGGTGAGAAATTGGGATCACTTCTCTATGAAGGCCAACTGTGTATAGTGGTCACTTGTATTGACATCCAGTGTCTGATCATCAATGAGGCTGATCGTTTGATGGAGAAGGGTCACTACGCAGAGCTCTCTGAGATATTAGACACTTTAAACACATGAGTAATTGGTATTGAGAGTACATTCAATCAAATGTAATAAGAATCACCTCTCTATTAAGGCCAACTGTGTATAGTGGTCACTTGTATTGACGTCCAGTGTCTGTTCATGGATGAGGCTGACCGTATGGTGGAGAAGGGTCACTACGCTGAGCTATCTGAGATATTAGACATTTTAAACAGGTGAGAAATTGGAATTAAAAGATTTAATCAAATGTAATAGGGCGTATCCGGACACCTTCATGTACCCCTTGGACATCCACCCCCTGGACAACCACCCCCTAGGACAACTACCCCTTAGTGCAACCACCCTCCGGGGGGTAGGTGTCCTAGAACCAGGGACCACCTCTCTATATAGTGGTCAACTATTTATAGGTCAACTTGCTTATAGTGGTCAACTATATTGATATCCAGCATCTGATCCTAGGTGAGGCTCATCAATGGAGGCCACCTACATGTATGTATGCTACGAGGCACACTTTGCATTTTTCATCAAGTGTGCCAGCAGAGAAAGTTTGTTGTCAGTTATGGGTCAGATTAGAGTTCATTTGGTGATGATTTGGTGGTGTGACAGGGGTGTTTAATATCAACAAACGACTTAAAGAGAAGGTTGAGTTCTGGGGAGAGGTGAAAAATTATTTGTGAGTGTAATTGAACATCGGAGCAAAAATGTTCCCTGAAAAGCATGGCTCTTGAAATGCCTTCATATTCTTAATATGACATATAACAGCTTAAAAATCGGGCCTCATTATTATGCCACATGTTTGTGCATATACATCTTTCTGTGAACAGTGTTTGTTACTTTTACCAAGACTTGGCCAAATTTCTTATTATTTTGATGATTCCAGAACCTTGCAGTACACTTCCATACTTATATGCTTGATGATCAACCTTTTCTGATCGATTCTACACCGTTTCTTTCACAATTCCATCGCATGACCAGAACTCTACTCTATCTTTGAGGAACATTCCAAACTAAAAATGTGCTGTATCACAGTATGTGTGTTATGATGTCGAAATTCATATCCCACTTAGTAACGAGTACTTACTCGGCCAAACTAGATATTTGACACTGTGTTCTATTCTTTTCTTTTTTTTCTTTTTGGCCTGATCTTCTATGCAGCTCTGAGCAGAGGTCGTCCAGACAAACTTTTGTGTTCTCAGCGACGCTAAGTCTGATCCATCTTGGTCCACTCAGGAAATCATTGAAGAAGGCTTACAAACAAGACAAGAAAGATAAGCTAGGTTTGTCAACGATGAAAGCACTTCCAATTTCTACTAAAATATGCTTAAATGTGTGATTTACATTCATGAAAGGACTTAGTAGAAAATTTTCCCTGATGAGAGTTTATTTTGGGCTTTAGTTTTTCTTTAAAGTTATAGTTTAATGGTTGCTATTGAAGGTTAGGGTTATAGGTATAGTGGTTGGTCAAGGATTGAAGTAAGGAAGTTGATAAGTGTAGGAAATTCATCTCTTAACAATCATTGTCAGAACTTAGAGAGAAAATGTTGAGTTAGGGGGAGAGGTGGAAAATAATTTGTGAGCGTTATCATTGTTATTATGCAAGTGTGGAAGAACATGAGAGAAAAAATGTTCCCTGAAAAGCATGGGTCTACAAACGCCTTAATATTCTAAATATGACATGTAACAGCTTAGAGATGAGGCCCGATTTTTATGCCACATGTTTGTGTAGTCCCATATACATCTTTTTGTGTACAGTGCTTGTTACTTTACCAAAACTGAGCCAAATTTCTTACCAATTTGATGACTCCAGAACCTTGCAGTACACGCCAAAAATTATATGCTAGATGATCAACATTTTCTGTTCGATTCGCACCGTTTCTTTCACAATGCAATCGCATGACCAGAACTCAACTATCTTTAAATGTGTGTGAACCTTTTTTACATAATTTCTTATCATCTATTTAGATTCTGTGATGGCTAAGATTGGTATCAAGGAAGACGCTGAGGTGGTAGATCTCACCAAGAGAGAAGGTACAGCATCTTCACTGCTAGAGAGTAAAATTGTTTGTGCAGTTGAGGAAAAGGTAATTTCCATGTTCTTTTTCTACTTTCTTTGAAGAAATCTCACTCATTTATTTTGTATTTTATATATTTTTTTAATTGTTGTTTTTTGGTGCTGTGGCATTTGCTGCAACGACAATTCTACATACCACATAAGGCTGAAAACAAGCCAACGTAAGTCGCACTCTATATTTACTAGCAAATTTGCCGGGATTAATATAATTTTATATAATGTTGCTTTTAATAAAAGCAGGAAATGAGAGGAACAGGTCAGTGAAAGTTGGAGCAGTATCCGATAAAAATAAATTTGAATAAATAAATTTTCATCAGTGAAACACAAATTGGCAACACTGACATATTTTGGGAGTTCCTCTCCAATCTGCTATGTACAGAAAATTGCATAAACTATCATTTTCTTAGTTATTGATAACTGAATAGAATTGTGTCATGCAGGAGTTGCGTAAAATCAGTAGAAGTTTTCGTAACGGAAAATATAATTTTTTTAATACAGGGCAAATAGGAGAGAACCTGTACAAGATACGTCACAGTGTTGCCAATTTGTGTTTCACTGATGACAATTTCAAAACTTTATGAATTTCCTATTTGTAACCAGTTGTAAACTTCCCTGACCTGTTCTCTCATTTTTTCTGCTTGTATTAATACCAACTTAATATCAGGGTGGACTTCCCCTTTAATACAGGAGCTATCTGGTTTGTTTCAATTGATATTTCAACATTGTTGGTTTACTTGCAGGACATATACCTGTTCTACTTTCTGAGGCAGTACCCAGGTCGAACCCTTGTCTTCACCAACAGCATAGACTGCATCAGGAGACTGGCATCTATCCTTACTCTGCTGGACTGTAAACCACTTCCACTGCATTCCTCTATGCACCAGAAACAGCGCCTGAAGAATCTTGAAAGGTGAGATGTGATACCACTCTTATGTAAAATAATGACCAAAGAAATGTCTCTGATAACAAATGCACTTGTCTTGTGTAGAGGTGTCGTGGTCGAGTGGATATGTCACCTGACTGTGGATCACAAGGTACGGGGTTCGAGTCCCGCCGTGGCACTTATGTCCTTTGGCAAGATATTAATCTACATTTGCCATACTCGACCCAGGTGATGTAAATGGGTACCTGGCAGGAATTAATTCATTGATATGCTAGAGCGCGGTAATGGTAGCCATGCTAAAGCCAGAGTAATAATTGTGAAGCGCCATGAGTGTCAAGTATGAGCGCTATACAAGAATCCAATATTATGTATCACTGGGACGTGACTATAATGGAACAATATGTATACATGGATTTTATGTTTTTTCTGAACAAGGAAGAGAAAAGCATGTTTTTATTTGTTAGATAATCAGACGATTTCAGATCCATTGAAGTCATATTTCAGTTGCACTACATGTACAAGGTCTATACTATATTACATACAGCATATGAAACTTCTATGCCTCTGATTGGTCAAAACTGCAGGCATGAAATTCGCTTAGTATCAAACATTTTGTAAAAATTTCTGTTTTTAAAAGTGGCATTCAGGATGCGGTGTATAAAACAGATTTTAACTGCTTATTTTCGGGTCGCGGTTAAAACTATAGCCACTCAGTGAGCTTGAGACTGCACTATGTCCCTAACTTCATCTTGAGGCACAGTACAGTTTTGAGATCGCTTTGGGCAATAGTTTTAACTTTGCCCCTCAAAGCAGTCAATATGTGTATATTATCGAAACATGTACATACCTGGCATCCTTTCAAAGCAATAATCAGAGATCCCTCAAAAGGTCTCAAGGCAAAATTTGGAATACAGGCATTTTTGTATAATTTTCACTTACAAGTTTTCAAGAAAAAAAATGAACCTAGGGTTCATAACATCAGTTCGAGGACCAAAAGGTAGGAATCATTCCTTCAAAATAGGGATGGTCAGCAGTAACCGGTATGTATATTACTCTGAATTCAGAATTTCTCCATTCTTGTCACCCAGATTCACAGGTAATCCTAAGGGGCTACTCCTGGCTACGGATGTTGCTGCTAGAGGCCTGGATATACCAGATATAGAGCATGTTATTCACTACCAAGTACCTCGTACATCAGAGGTGAGTCGTACTGGAGTTTGAATTTTTCATCTGTTTTCTCGCATATAATTATGTTAAAGATAAAGTTGAGTTCTGGTCATGCGATTGCATTGTGAAAGAAAAGGTGTGGAATGGATCAGAAAAAAATGATTACATAGCATAATAAGTATTGGTAAGTACTGATGTGTACTGTCTGCAAGGTTCTGGAATCTTCAAAATCATAATAAATTTGGCCCAGTCTTGGTAAAGTAACAAGCACTGTACACAGAAAGATATATATGGGACTACACAAATGGTGTCGGGCCTACTTACCTTGATTTCCTTATCTTTCTATGCTCATTACTCAGCCAGTAAACATTTTCTACCCAAATTGTTTGGCAAATGACACTCAGTGTAAGTTTCGCTTGATTCTGTGAGATTTCATTTTCTTTTCTTACCAGTTCTAACTCAAGTTTATCTTTAATGCCTCGTTCAGATATGCTGCTGTAAATCACTTTGCTTTTTTGTTATGTGTAAATGAATGAAAACTGCTCGCAACAAAGGCCCAGTGCGTATTCACCGAGTTCTGTGTTATAAGATACAGAATTGTGAAGCGTATTGCACTGATGATGTCATCATTGAAAACAACATGTCCCAGTTACCACTTATCTGCCCCAGTAATTACTTGAAATCCTTGTCTGAGGATTCTCATTACTTCATAGCATCTTTTGCAGGAATACCAAGCTAGGGCTATTTTTCAGGAAGAAAAAATACCTAGAGCAAATTCTCCCAGACAAGATAAGACATTCTCCCAGACAAGGGTAATAAATATGTTAGTGCATACTTTGATCTTTTAAAATGCTTTTAACCTCCAAAATCACCTGCTAGGTGTTGCAAGACAATCATTTCACTAAATTTAGACCAAGGTTCAACAGTATTTCCCCCAGGGAGTGGAGATTATGCACACAGTGTGTGCGGGCAAGTATCGAATCCAATGACCGGGGTAATAGTATATCTGTAAAGCGCTTAAAGATGTTTGTATTAAGCGCTATATAAAAGCGGAATATTATTATGATTAAAGAGTCTGACCATTTCTTGATTTTTTTTTTCCTTTTTATTTATAGTCTTACGTTCACCGTAGCGGGCGTACAGCTCGACAGGCCAAGGTTGGTTTGAGTGTGACCCTAGTATCCCCCAATGAGATGAACTTCTACAGGAGACTATGCAAGACACTCAACAGAGGTATACATTGGTAGCAACTAGTCAAGATTTGTGTACTGTCCTTGAGTATTAAAAATGAAAGAAGTAAATGCCCATTTTAATACACATAATGATCTTGTACTTTGAGGTGCGCAAAGAAAGCTATAGTGAAACAAAAATCCATATGCAAGACACTCAACAGAGGTACACATTGGTAGTAACTAGTCAAGATTTGTGTACTGTCCTTGAAGTATTAAAAATGAAAGTAGTAAATGCCCATTTACACATGATGCAGTTGTATTTTGAGATGCACAAGGAAAGGTATGCAAGACACTCAACAGAGGTACACATTGGTAGTAACTAGTCAAGATTTGTGTGCTGTCCTTGAGTAATAAAAATGAAAGTAGTAAATGCCCATTTACACTTGATGAACTTGTATTTTAAGGTACACAAGAAAGGTATAATAATAATATGTACCACTATATAGCGCAATTCCTGTCCTAAGACATATCAGTACGCTTTACATGAATTACATAATTATAACCCTGGCTTTAGCTCCGGCAGCCGTTATCAGCACACAGTGCATTACAAGGAATAATAGTGAATCAAAGAGTCCACATGATTGCAATTGCAGTTGCCAATCAGTTCTAAAGAAAACACAACTGTCAAAGTAGATTTTGGATTGGAAACTTTCTACAAAAGAATTCCTGTCAAAAATCGTTAAGTAAATTTGTGTATTTTTAGGAGTTTTAGGCACAATAATTGAGCTTTTACACTGAATGGAATGAAATGTACTATCAAGGAGATAGTAAGCAAATATTAATCGACTACAAGGGTAATGGTACAAACTATCATCGCCGAAGTGATCTCGGGGCTACTATCATGATGATGGTAGCCCCGAGATCACCGAGGCGATGATAATTTGTTTCCATTGCCCGAGTAAAGGAGGTTAATATTTGTTCTATATCCCACATCGGCAGTAATGTCTATTTAAAGTGAATTTTACATAATTAAAACAACTGATTTTGCAGACAGTTTAGCTTCAGCTAGATTTTACAAAGCACAATATGCATACACGTGATAAAGTCGATGCATGCTCATTTGACATTGACATTTCGCATGATCTACTTTGCTATGCACGTTATGCTTATTCAATGGGCAAGTGGGGCAGCAGCAAAAAATTACGATACAAAAGTCCTATCGCAGGGAGATAGTACTTATCTATCATTGATCATGTGACCTCGTTTAGACCAATCAGATTGTAAGATTCTTAGTATGCAGGATATAATTTAATCTAGCTCTCTGTAAACACCGGTTTCCTTTGATTTGTTTTACAGAGGAGATTCCCAGCTTCCCTGTGGAGCATAGTTACTACCAGGCCGTGAATGAAAGGGTGGAGCTGGCTAGAGACATTGACAAGCTCTGTGTAAACACTAGTTTCTTTTGATTTGTTTTACAGAGGAGATTCCCAGCTTCCCTGTAGAGCATAGCTTCTACCAAGCCGTGAATGAAAGGGTGGATCTAGCTAGAGACATTGACAAGCTCTCTGTAAACACTGGTTTCTTTTGATTTGTTTTACAGAGGAGATTCCCAGCTTCCCTGTAGAGCATAGTTACTACCAAGCCGTGAATGAAAGGGTGGAGCTAGCCAGAGACATTGACAAGCTGGAGCACGTCAGCAACAAGAAGAAGCACCAGAACGACTGGTTTGTCAGAGCGGCCAAGGAGCTGGACGTCGATGTGGATGAACATTTGAAGTATCCTTGACAACGATGATGATGTATGAATGATGTTCGTTGCCGGGTGTGGTCATAGTAATGATCGTAAGGATGTAGAGGGGGGCTGATGTTGATGACGATGATAATGAAGATGATGATGATGATGTTGATGATGAGATAAGGTTCTGGCAATGCGATTGCAGTGTGAAAGAAACGTTGTGGAATCGAATAGAAAAGGTTGATCATCTAGCATATAAAGTATTGGTGTGTATACTGCAAGGTTCTGGAATCATCAAAATGATAAGAAATTTGGCCCAGTCTTGGTAAAGTTACAAGCACTGTACACAGAAAGATGTATATGGGACTACATGGACATGTGGCATAAAATTCTGTCCAGATTTTTATGATGTAACATGCCATATTTAGAAATATTAAGGCGTTTGAAGAGCCATGCTTTTCAGGGAACATTTTGTATCTGATATTCTTCCACACTGGCATAATACAATGATAACGCTCACAAATTATTCTCACCTCTTCCCAGAACTCAACCTTCTCTTTAAAGATGATGAAGGTGATGATGAGGATGATGATGATAATGATGATGAGGATGACTATGATGATGATGAGGATGATGATTATGGTGATAGTGATGGCATTAGTGAAGGTAATAATGATGGTTAATGATGATTAGGGTAAATCTAGCTAGGGACATTGAAAGCCGGAGTACGTGAACGCCAAGAAGAAACATCAGAACCAATGGTTTGTCAGAGCAGCTTAAGAATAAGATGTGGATGTTGATTGACATTTGAAGTTTGTTGACCATGATGGTGATGCTGTTGCTGGGTGTGAATCGGCGTCAATCATAGTAATGAGGAAGATGATGATGACGCTGATGATGACGATGATGACGACGACGATGATGATAATGATGATAATGATGACGACAACGACGATGATGATGATAATGATAGGATAATTGTAGTACTGACGATGATGATGCAGCTGATGATAATGGTGATGATGGTTGTGGTCTTATTGATAATGATCTTAATTATAATATTCATGAAAATATTACTGAATGCTTTGAAGATGAAAACTGCAACAATAATGATTTTGCATATGACCATAATGACTTTAATGGTGAAATCTCTTAGAATACAAGCCATATTGAATATAGAGGGATCAATAAAACCTTTTCAGATCAAGTGAAAAAGAAGAAAAAAAGACAAGATAATGGCTGTTGATTGCATGACTTGTTAAAGATAAAGACCAGTTCTGGTCATGCGATTGCATTGTGAAAGAAACGTTGTGGAATCGATCAGGAAAGGTTGATCATCTAGCATATAAGTATTGGTGTGTACTGCAAGGTTCTGGAATCATCAAAATGATAAGAAATTTGGCCCAGTCTCAATAAAGTTACAAGCACTGTACACAGAAAGATGTATATGGGACTACCCCCACACGTGCACGACACGTGCGTTGTATCTATCAGGTCCAAATAGATATAATAATTTACCAATTATATCAATTAGTAGGCGGTTTCTCTGCAAAATATGTATGATCACGTACAGGTACTAGTCAAAACATATTCTTTCACATGATTGGTAATAAAAACTTACATTTCATTTTTTGAGAGGGGGGCGTTTCCAAAACTGGTCTTTACCTTTAAAGTGATTGTTTAGTTAGAGTTAGCCATGTACATATAGATTTCCTTAATGACGCAATCACTAGTCTTCATAACATGGGCGATTCATCAGAACAGAAGCAATTCAACAAGAAATTGAGGATAATGAGAGGTAAGATTTTGTAATATCCATGTTTTCATTCTCTCCTGTTTTTTTAATCAAGATTTACATCGTTTATTTCTCTTTTTCTTTCTCTTCTCTGTGTTTCCATAGATTCTTTGCCTGATAAAAACATGATTTTTTTTTTTTTATTAAAAAAAAGAAGAAAAAAAAAAACGATTTTCCCCTTAGTTTCTCTATTCTTCCCTATTTTCCCCTATTATTTCCCAATTTTTCTTACTCAAAAGGTGGGAAATGTTGTTAGATGCCATTTTCCCCCTGAATCCTCTTATTCTTTTTTTACTCAAGGGGGGCGTGGTTGAGGGGGGAATGTTTAAATATTCTTTTAGTGCTTACTATCACCCCTGCCCCATAGAGGTCTAGTGGACATGGATCGTATGGCGCAAAGTTCATGTCCTAGCCATGGCATTTAAATGTCCTTTAGAAAGACCACCCTCAACCTAGGTGTAGTAAATGGGTTCCACATACGAAGTACTTCATTAGATGCCTTTAAGACCTTGGCTAAAGATAAGTAATAGTAGTACTGTGATGGAATCCCCTGGCATGGTTATGTGCAAAATATGAATATAGCTATCAATATAAATATTACCCACATCATCATCATCATTATTACGAGAGTCAAACCTGCTTTAGTGACCACCTGTCTACAACAAGCACATTTTTCGTTTCCCTTGAAATGGTTTCTCATTGGAACATGTACTAAAGGAACCTGTCTACAAAGACCACCTGTCTATAAATACCAGTTTTGTGTTTCCCTTGGGCGGTCGCTATAGACAGGTTTGACTGTATTATCATTATGTTACTATAGGCACCTTGAAAGCATTGTTGAAGAGGAGGATCTTTGCTGCGGGTTATTCTCAGCGCTACTTGACAGCTAATGGCAAATTCCAGTCTCCTTTCTCTCAAGGTAAGTACACATATGGTGTGTATAAATTCACCACCACCACTACTACCACTACTACCAACCACCACCAACGTACAACCCCACTATCACCAGTTCCACCATTACCACCACCATCTCCACTACCACCACCACCATCATCACCACCACCACCACCACCATCATCATCACCACCACCACCACCACTACCATCACCAACCCCACCATCACCACCACTACTACCATCACCAACACCACCATCACCACCACCATCACCACCACCAGTACCACCAGTACCACCATCACCATCACCACCAGTTACATCACCACCATCTCCACTACCACCACCACCACTACCATCATCACCACCACCAACATCACCACCACTACCACCACTAATACCACTACCACCAATTATAATTTTGATAATAATACATGTATTCTCTATATTTGTTTTATACATTTTATGTTATCTTTGTGTAATGGCCACTTTGGCAGAAATTTGGCAGAATCACATACATTTAAATGTTCATTGATCGGATCTGTACACAACTATTTCACCTTATAATGCAATTAAAGGTATAGACCAGTTCTGGTCATGCGATTGCATTGTGAAAGAAACGTTGTGGAATGGATCAGAAAAAATTGATCATGTATCATGCAAGTATTGGTGTGTACTGCAAGGTTCTGGAGTCATCAAAATCATAATAAATTTGGCCCAGTCTTGGTAAAGTAACAAGCACTGTACACAGAAAGATGTATATTATATGGGACTACACAAATGGTGTCGGGGCTACTTACCTTGATTTCCTTATCTTTCTATGCTCATTACTCAGCTAGTATACATTTTCTACCAAAATTGTTTGGCAAATGACATTTATTTTGTAATCTTGTACATTCAGTGTAAGTTTCATTTGATTCTGTGAGAATTAATTTTCTTTTTTTACCAGAATTAAGTTTATCTTTAAATGTTCATTGATCGGATCTGTACTAAACTATTTCTCCTTTTAATGTTATTCAATTGTTTGATTTTTTTTTTCACACAGCCACTGTTGGATCTCACGAAGCGTTCTCCAAGATGAAAGCTCGGATGAAGAAGGACAAAGCGGACGACAGCAAAGAGAAGGACAAGAAACGGAAGAAGTTCAAGCGGATGGGCAGATACCAGACAAAGAAATAGAGGGCAATCTTAGGCAAGGGTCATTTCTGATTGGGCCATTGGACAGCAGTCTATTTAAGAAATAGCTTTGAGATTTATAAAATAAAGTCTAAATGATGACAGTGTATTTTAATTTAAAAGCTTTCCCGTAAACAAAGTCACTAATTATTACAATATACTTTTAATACTTGTCATCATTATCAGATGATTCATTAATGTCACCTTCTCATCTTTGATCAACTTCTTCTTCCTCTTCCTTTTCCTGCTCCTCCCCATCGCCACCATCAGGATCATCTGCGTCATCATAATCAACATCAATACAAACATCTTCCTCATCATCACCATCATCATCTTCATCATAATTATCAGAATTATCAGCATCATAACATAATCATCATCACCACCTCCTTCATCATCATCGGATTACATCATGAATAAAACAACACCCTTCAGAATGTATGCTGGCTAAAATGCAGATAGCATCATTTATTTTTTATAAAGAAGCTGCAGTATTTTTTTTCCCTTAACAATATTATTCTGTATAGAAGGGCTACAATCGTAACTTTGACTCATGCTCAGGACAGGTTTAGTTTAAAGCTACTATCTAACCTATGAATAAATGCTGTGCGAGTCCAAATGACTGCCGGACTGGAGATAGACAAGTCATGACAATGTTATTGAATTCCATAATAGTCTTCGCATTGTGATAATACATGTTACATATTTCTATAATTTTAGGATTATGTGTACCTGACGATGAAGACCACAGTTACTACACTTATTGAAAATCAGTACAAATTTTTTAGTTACTAGATGTTTTCATTTTAAAAACATAAGTACTTATTCATTTTATTTTAACACCAAGACATAATAAACATTTGAAATAATTTCATGACCATGTCAAAACATTATTTAACTTGTAAAATGTCATCCTTTTAATTTTTTTGACAATGCATATTTTATGGAAGAGATTCTTGATTTTAGATATGGTCCACAATAAATCATCGTTTGCAACTGTATGCTCTACAGTGCCAAATTGTAAATATGATATGACTTCACATATTATGAATAAATATTATGCTCTTATAAACAGAATCCAGCTATTATCCTTTGTCCTAATGCATATGTTTGAGTTCTTTACTATAGATGCAGGTCAAAATATTGAAAACAATTTATTTACATCTATTTTCATGAAGCTTGCTGAAAGGGGATACCAGAGGAAGAAGAGATGAGAAGAGAAGATAGTATGAGAGATGAAGATATAAAGAGAAGATAGTATGAGAGAACGATTACCAGTAGAAATGATCTGAAAAATACAGGGATTGTGTTCATACATGAGTAACGAAGGATGAGGAGTCGTAGGGAAAAACAAATTGACTTTAGTGTCCAGAGATATAGTACAGACCTAATCACACCTTCAAGTCAACTCCAAATAAGCCAGTTTGTTAATAGCTTTGAAACGCATGACCCTAAAATATCCACAGATCTTTTACACGATGGATACGTCCCACTTGGGCATTTTAGAATAATCACTGCCAAAGTGATGGAGGTGCTTCATGAATACCTTTTGTTTGCCTCTTGAGAAGAATACTTCCACCTGTGTATCAGAAAAATGTACTGTCATGCATAAATGAATACTGATTACATAACTTTCATGAGCACGATACCAGTATTTATAATTTGGGAACAAGTGACCTTTATCTGCCCAGACGCAGTTAGTATTTACAAACTGGCTAATTGATTCCGACCCAACCAATTCGTATTTTGGCCCATTGTCATCAGGCTTGTGTTGGTTTTGTTGGTATGACTACGGTATACAAGCATGTTTGAACAGTAATTTTTATATCAGACGACATTATATCACCCCCAACCAATCCAGACATTCACATATTTAACATTTAAAGGGTATAAAAAGATATTATTTTTAATATTAAAAGGCCAATGCCCAAGTCAACTTCTGGGAAGGCCAAATTTCTGGAGTGTTTCAGACTCATCCACTCACAGAGTGCTTTCACCTTTATTTAGAGTGCAATGCTAGTATTTAGACTAACAATATTTTGAACATAAAATACCAGAATGGAACTCAAAGCCAAACAACTTTTGCTCTGATTGGTCTTTCTTAAACCGACAAAAGAAATTTCTAAATCTGGAGATCTGAGAGAAGTAGATCAAGGTTTGGTCTTCTTTTTCTTCTTCTTAACCGCTGTGTCATCTGGAATATAAAGAACAGACAAAAAGAGATTCATTACTCGAAACACTGTGTCATCTGAAATATAAAGAACCGACAAAAAGAGATTCATTACTCGAAACACTGTGTCATCTGAAATATAAAGAATAGACAAAACAAGATTGATTACTTATATTGATCAGTTATAAGTATTGCACAGTGGGCAGGGTTTTTTCAAGGAACATCCCACCCTTGAACAATTTTTTAATAAAAATTAATAACAAAAAAGTTCAGCAAAGTTTCTAGGGTAGGGGTGAGGAGGGGGTTGGATGTATATTTGTCCACCAAAAATGCACCTGAAAAATCTAATAACCCTTTTGTTAAAGTAATATCTTCTCTCCCTATTTTGCAAAGGGTTGGGGTGTAGAGTATGTCAGTGTGAATAGAATTTTGGTTTAAAGTATTTAAATCATATCTAGAATATACAAGAAATATTCTATACATCTTTTGCAACAAGAAGTACAGTATGGCAAAACCATGTTTCTCACCAGTTCTGCTTTCTGTGATGCGCTTTGTGGTTTGCTGGGATGTCTCTTTCTCTTCGCTAACCACAGAGGGCGCTTGTCTCACCGCTAAGCACGTCAGTCTGGCTTTGGAATCCACCTCTGAGAGTAATATCGGAGAATCTGTGATCTGAGAGAAAATGAAGTCGTAAGATATATTTACAGTAGGCTTGCGGGTACACCATGTGTGAGAGAGAGAGAGAGGGTTGAGGAGTCCTGAAAAGTACTCTGACTCAGTAATCTTTCTTGGGGGTGTGTAGTCCTGAAAAGGACTTTTGTTATCTTTCTTAGCTCATAGTTCTAAGGAGAACTATAGCGCTTGGAGAGGATGAGTGGCTCGTAAGATATATTGTTCTGACAGGGGAGATCAAATCTTTCTACTGGGGTAATACTTGATATCCATCAAATAACTGTTTGAAAACAAATGATATCAAACAGATATTTAGAAGACTAGTCACTCTACTCGAGACAATGAGGAACAAAGTATTTCTGAATTTTGATGCTTATTAAATTCAATTTAAAAAGACCTCAAATTGGTGACATTGTTCATCTAATAAGAAATGTACTCCTAAATGTGAATGTTTGCCGTCTGCAAAATAATATTTGTGGATGGCTTGAAAAGGGGTCAAATTTGTGTGGGTCTCTGTGGGAAAAATTACACTTATTACAATGTTAAGTGACCAGTGACATGACTTTTACATCAAAACAATTGCTCCAGGCTTCATTTTGACAAAAAATATAGAGTTACGGTTGGATTGTAATAGGGTTTCAGGTTGGGATTAGGGTTAGAATTAGGTATAATGTTTGATCCAAGGTTGAAGTCCGGGATTTTGTTATTATAGAAAAATGAACATGGAGTAATTGTTGCACAAATGTCATTGATTTAAAAAACCTAGAAAGATTGATGATCTGAAAAACTACCCCGTTTTTCATTACAGTCATGCATAGCGATTTTCCAATCACAATGTTAAGTGAACAGACACTGTACTGGGATCGTAAAACACATATGTAATACACACCTTTTCTGTATCTATACACCATATCTTGAGAAAGCCATCACTAGATGCAGATAGAAGCCATTTCTCAGTCTGGCTTGATTTGCTTCCTCTAGCATTGACACATTTCAGAGACTTGATTCTGCAGAAAAAGAGAGCCATACAAAAAACTTCATTTAGTGATTTCCTTCCTTTACATTTCATATTTATACATGCACATTGTAGGCATTCTTTCTTCTCATTCCTTCTTTTCTTTCCTTCTCCTCCTCCTCCTCCTCCTAATTATTATCATTCTTTTCCTCTTTTCTCTCATATTTCTCTTCTTCTCCTTCTCCTCCTCATTAATTTTCTCCTTCTTCTTCTGGTTCTTCTTCTTTGCCCTCTTTTACTCCTTCTTCTTATTCATCTTCCTCTTCGTCACCATCACCACCATCATCATCATCATCATCATCATCACCATCATCACCATCATCACCACCATCATCATCATCATCATCATCACCATCATCATCATCATCATCATCATCACCATCACCATCATCATCATCACCATCATCACCATCATCATCATCATCATCATCATCACCATCATCACCATCATCACCATCATCATCATCATCATCATCACCATCATCATCACCATCATCACCATCATCATCATCATCACCATCATCACCATCATCATCATCATCATCACCATCATCATCACCATCATCATCACCATCATCACCATCATCATCATCATCATCATCACCATCATCATCATCATCATCACCATCATCACCATCATCATCATCATCATCATCACCATCATCATCACCATCATCATCACCATCACCACCATCATCATCATCATCATCATCATCACCATCATCATCATCATCATCATCATCACCATCATCATCATCATCATCATCATCACCATCATCATCATCATCACCATCATAACCATCATCACCATCATCATCATCATCATCATCACCATCATCACCATCATCACCATCATCATCATCATCATCATCACCATCATCATCACCATCATCACCATCATCATCATCATCATCACCATCATCACCATCATCATCATCATCATCATCATCATCATCATCATCATCATCATCATTTTCAATATCTACATGTTTGCAAAGAGACGATCATGACAGTAACATGCAGCATGGAGAACAAAAAAGATATATATCATATATGATGTCCCCACCTCTTTTCATGTGCCTTGAATTCTGTTAGCTGTGATAGCTTAGTCTTCTTGTCATTCACTTGGAGGAGCGATATCATCTCCCCTTCACCAGCCGTGACCAATACTCTATCCTATAAATGAAATGAAAATTATAGAAGAGAATGGATACTTTTTAATAATAAGTTAAACCATGAAACCCCTTTCAAACTATTTTCTCATTCAAATATACACAGGATAACTTTATCACTTAAGATAAAGTTGAGGTTCTAAACATGCAATTGTATTGTGAAACTAGATGGAATTTTGACTGTGTGCAGTCGAAAATGATGCCTCCGCCCTAAAGCAATTTAAACAAGTTTGGAGTTTAAATCTCCAGTGGTTCTTGAGATATCATGATAACAATCTCAATGTATGGAATTTCATAAGTTGACCTCTGTGACCCTTGACCTTTGACCTACGTGCTCCAAAATCTAATCAGATTGTCTTCCTATGGTGATACACACTTTCATTAAGTTTGAAGTTTAAATCTCCAGTGGTTCTTGAGATATTATGATATGGTGATACATACTATCATTAAGTTTGAAGTGAAAATTCTCCAGTGGTTATTGAGATATCGCGATAACGATCTCAATGTATGGAATTTCATAAGTTGACCTCTGTGACCCTTGACCTTTGATCTACGTGCTCCAAAATCTAATCAAATTGTCTTCCTATGGTGATACACACTATCATTAAGTTTGAAGTTTAAATCTCCAGTGGTTCTTGAGATATTATGATAACAATCTCAATGTATGGAATTTCATAAGTTGACCTCTGTGACCCTTGACCTTTGACCTACGTACTTCAAAATCTAATCAGATCGTCTTCCTGTGGTGATACATACTATCCTTAAGTTTGAAGTTTTTACATCTCCAGTGGTTCTTGAGATATCATGATAACAATCTCAATGTATGGAATTTCATAAGTTGACCTCTATGACCCTTGACCTTTGATCTACGTGCTCCAAAATGTAATCAGATTGTTTTCCTATAGTGATACACACTATCACTAAGTTTGAAGTTTAAATCTCCAGTGGTTCTTGAGATATCATGATAACAATCTCAATGTATGGAATTTCATAAGTTGACCTCTGTGACCCTTGACCTTTGACATACGTGCTCCAAAATCTAAGCAGATCGTCTTCCTATGGTGATACATACTATCCTTAAGTTTGAAGTTTAAATCTCAAATGGTTCTTGAGATATCGCGCTAACAAACTCAATACAAGGAATTTCATAAGTTGAACTCTGTGACCTGTGACCTTTGACCCACGTACTCCAAAATCTAATCAGATCGTCTTCCTATGGTGATAAATACTATTCCCCAGTCTTAAGTTTAAATCTTAAAAGGTTCTTGAGATATTGTGATAACGGTCAAACGGGACGGACGGACGGACGTACGTACGGAGGTACGGACGGACAACCCGAAAACATGATGCCTCCGGCCTTCGGTGGCGGAGGCATAAAAATGATATTTTCCTCCAAAATGCTGAACCACCCCAGCCCTTACAATTTCGGCACGAAAGTTGTGATAATTCAAATTATCACAATATTTGCCACTACGCCCCTTTCAAAGGGATTAGGGGTCAAGATCCATCTAATGGCATGTATGGACATTCATTGTGGGGAAACTAACCTATTAAAAAAAATATTATATTTTCCTCCAAAATGCTGAACCACCCCGGACCTTCTAATTTCGGCCCGAAAGTTGTGATAATTCAAATTTTTACAATATTTGCCCCTACGCCCCTTTCAAAGGGATATGGGGGTCAGGATCCATCTAATGGCATTTATGTACATTCATTGTGGGGAAACTAGCCTATTAAAAAAATATAATATTTTCCTCAAAAATCCTGAACCACCCCGGCCCTTACCATTTCGGCCTGAAATTGGTGGTTATTCAAATTATCACAATATTTGCCCCTACGCCCCTTTCTAAGGGATTAGGGGTCAGGATCCATCTAATGGCATGTATGGACATTCATTGTGGGGAAACTAGCCTATTAGAAAGAAAAAAATATTTTCCTCCAAAATGCTGAACCACCCCGGACCTTCTAATTTCGGCCTGAAAGTTGTGATAATTCAAATTTTTACAATATTTGCATCTTCGCCCCTTTCAAAGGGATATGGGGGTCAGGATCCATCTAATGGCATTTATGTACATTCATTGTGGGGAAACTAGCCTATTAAAAAAAATATATATTTTCCTCCAAAATGCTGAACCACCCCGGCCCTTAACATTTTGGCCTGAAATTGGTGTTTATTCAAATTATCACAATATTTGCCCCTATGCCCCTTTCAAAGGGATATGGGGGTCAAGATCCATCTAATGGCATGTAGGTACATTCATTGTGGAGAAACTAGCCTATTAAAAAAAAATATATTTTCCTTCAAAATCCTGACCCACCCCGGCCCTTACCATTTCGGCCTAATTTGGTGTTTATTCAAATTATCACAATATGTGCCCCTACGCCCCTTTCAAAGGGATATGGGGGTCAAGATCCATCTAATGGCATGTATGGACATTCATTGTGGGAAAACTAACCTATTAAAAAAAATATATATTTTCCTCCAAAATGCTGAACCACCCCGACCCTTACCCTTTTGGCCTGAAATGAAATTGGTGTTTATTCAAATTATCACAATATTTGCCCTTATGCCCCTTTCAAAGGGATATGGGGGTCAAGATCCATCTAATGGCATGTAGGTACATTCATTGTGGAGAAACTAGCCTATTAAAAAAAATATATATTTTCCTCCAAAATCCTGACCCACCCCGGCCCTTACCATTTCGGCCTAATTTGGTGTTTATTCAAATTATCACAATATTTGCCCCTATGCCCCTTTCAAAGGGATATGGGGGTCAAGATCCATCTAATGACATGTAGGTATATTCATTGTGGAGAAACTAGCCTATTAAAAAAAATATATATTTTCCTCCAAAATCCTGACCCACCCCGGCCCTTACCATTTCGGCCTAATTTGGTGTTTATTCAAATTATCACAATATTTGCCCCTACGCCCCTTTCAAAGGGATATGGGGGTCAGGATCCATCTAATGGCATGTATGTACATTCATTGTGGGGAAACTAGCCTATTAAAAAAAATATATATTTTCCTCCAAAATGCTGAACCACCCCGGACCTTCTAATTTCGGCCAGAAAGTTGTGATAATTCAAATTTTTACAATATTTGCCCCTACGCCCCTTTCAAAGGGATATGGGGGTCAGGATCCATCTAATGGCATGTATGTACATTCATTGTGGGGAAACTAGCCTATTAGAAAAAAAATATATTTTCCTCCAAAATGCTGAACCACCCCGGACCTTCTAATTTCGGCCTGAAAGTTGTGATAATTCAAATTTTTACAATATTTGCCCCTACGCCCCTTCCAGAGGGATATGGGGGTCAGGATCCATCTAATGGCATGTATGTACATTCATTGTGGGGAAACTAGCCTATTCAAAAAATATAATATTTTCCTCGAAAATGCTGAACCACCCCGGCCCTTACCATTTTGGCCTGAAATTGGTGTTTATTCAAATTATCACAATATTTGCCCCTACGCCCCTTTCAAAGGGATATGGGGGTCAAGATCCATCTAATGGCATGTATGGACATTCATTGTGGGGAAACTAACCTATTAAAAAAAAATATATATTTTCCTCCAAAATGCTGAACCACCCCGGCCCTTACCATTTCGGCCCGAAAGTTGTGATAATTCAAATTTTTACAATATTTGCCCCTTCGCCCCTTTCAAAGGGATATGGGAGTCAGGATCAACCTAATGGCATGTATGTACATTCATTGTGGGGAAACTAACCTATTAAAAAAAAAATTATATTTTCCTCCAAAATCCTGAACCACCCCGGCCCTTCTAATTTCGGCCTGAAAGTTGTGATAATTCAAATTTTTACAATATTTGCCCCTACGCCCCTTTCAAAGGGATATGGGGGTCAGGATCCATCTAATGGCATGTATGTACATTCATTGTGGGGAAACTAGCCTATTAAAAAAAATATATATTTTCCTCCAAAATGCTGAACCACCCCGGCCCTTCTAATTTCGGCACGAAAGTTGTGATAATTCAAATTTTTACAATATTTGCCCCTACGCCCCTTTCAAAGGGATATGGGGGTCAGGATCCATCTAATGGCATGTATGTACATTCATTGTGGGGAAACTAGCCTAATCAAAAAATATAATTTTTTCCTTCAAAATGCTGAACCACCCCGGCCCTTACAATTTCGGCCCGAAACTTGTGATAATTCAAATTTTTACAATATTTGCCCCTACGCCCCTTTTAAAGGGATATGGGGGTCAGGATCCATCTAATGGCATGTATGTACATTCATTGTGGGGAAACTAGCCTAATCAAAAAATATAATTTTTTCCTTCAAAATGCTGAACCACCCCGGCCCTTACAATTTCGGCCCGAAACTTGTGATAATTCAAATTTTTACAATATTTGCCCCTACGCCCCTTTTAAAGGGATATGGGGGTCAGGATCCATCTAATGGCATGTATGTACATTCATTGTGGGGAAACTAGCCTATTAAAAAAAAAAAATATTTTCCTCCAAAATGCTGAACCACCCCGGCCCTTACAATTTCGGCCCGAAAGTTGTGATAATTCAAATTTTTACAATATTTGCCCCTACGCCCCTTTTAAAGGGATATGGGGGTCAGGATCCATCTAATGGCATGTATGTACATTCATTGTGGGGAAACTAGCCTAATCAAAAAATATAATTTTTTCCTTCAAAATGCTGAACCACCCCGGCCCTTACAATTTCGGCCCGAAACTTGTGATAATTCAAATTTTTACAATATTTGCCCCTACGCCCCTTTTAAAGGGATATGGGGGTCAGGATCCATCTAATGGCATGTATGTACATTCATTGTGGGGAAACTAGCCTAATCAAAAAATATAATATTTTCCTCCAAAATGCTGAACCATCCCGGCCCTTACCATTTCGGCCTGAAATTGGTGTTTATTCAAATTATCACAATATTTGCCCCTACGCCCCTTTCAAAGGGATATGGGGGTCAGGATCCATCTAATGGCATGTATGTACATTCATTGTG